GTGCTCTCAAGTTTGACAATGTTTATGATATCTTATTTTAGATTTCAAAAGAGGTTCTAAAAAAAATGATTATTATATATCACCTTTTTTTTTGGCAAGCGGTGATGAACAGAAGAAGAAGTATAGACTTACAAGATGGGATATGATTTGTCCAAAAATCAAGGTGGTCTTGGAGTTCCTAATTTACAAATTCAAAATCAATGTCTTTTGAGTAAGTGGCTATTTAAGTTAATTAATGAGCAAAGTGTTTGGCAAGATCTGTTAAAAAGGAAATATTTTAATAATAAATCTCTAACCCAGGTTAATAGGAAACAAGGGAATTCCCATTTTTGGGCGGGTTTTATGAAAGTTAAGAATACGTTCCTAAATATGGGTTTCTGGATTGTGAATAATGGTGAACAAGTTATATTTTGGGAGGATAAATGGGTTGGTAACTATTCCTTTAAAGATAGGTACCCATCTTTATATGCTATAGAAAGAAGGAGAAACTTCTTGGTTGCAAATGTTATGCATTCCGTTTCTTTCAATGTTTCTTTTAGGAGAGCTTTAGTAGCGCAGAACCTGACTAATTCGCATAATTTGTATGCTTCAATTGTGCATCTTCATTTGACAGAGTAGAATGATATTTTTAGATGGAATCTTCTCGGTTCATTCTATGTACTTAATAATGGTTACGTTGAAAGGAATAAGTTTACTTGTAAACTCAAAATGCCTTTTAAGTAAGATTTTTATGTGGTAAAGGGTTTGTCTGAACAAAGGATAACTTGACTAGGAAGAATTGGCATGCTAGTTTGAAATGTTTGTTTTGCATGAAAAATGAGACTATCCATCATTTATTTATGGACTGTCATTATGCAAAATTTCTTTAGAGAGAATTACAGTTTTCTTCTGGTTTAAATATTCCACATAGTATATCTCATACCTTTGGGAATTGGCTTATGGGGATTGATAAAAAATCTAATAAACTTATTTTGCTAGGAGCTTCTGCTATATGTTGGGCTCTATGGTTGAATAGAAATGATATGGTTTTTGACAAATCACCATCTATATCTTATATGCAGGTTCTTTTTAGGTCAATACACTGGCTCTGGTCCTGGGCATAACTGTAAAAGTGTGAAGAAGATATCAAGTTAATTAAAGCTGCATGTCGTAATGTTGAGTTAACGGTTATGCAATTTTTTACCAACTTCAGGTGGAGATACACAAATAGAATTCAATTTTTTTTGGTAATTTCTTGTGTTGGTTTTTAGTACTTTGCATGTGTTTCTATCATTTTAGTTTTACGACCTTTTTGTTATGCTTTTTTTTGTTTGAATTGGTATAATAATTGGCTGTAGCTCTTTGAGCAAATGCCGGGATTTTATTGCATTATCCAAAAGTTCACATTTGAACAATTAATTGGACTTGTAGGAATGGGCTAGAGACGGAGGCGAGTTGGGGCATGACTTGTAGCTAGGGGTGGACAAAAAGCTCGAAACTCGTGGCTCGGATCGGCTCGTAGCAAGCTCAGCTCGGATCGATTCGAACTCGTAGTCTTAATGAGTCGAGACGAGGTAGCCTTTTAGCTCGTGAGCTTAATGAGCTAGCTCGCAAGCTGCTCGCTTAGCTCGTTAGTATAAAATATCGCCATATCTTCATGAACTTAGTGTTTATTGACTAGTGCTTAGTCTTTTAATTACATCAAAACTATTCATATTTAGTGAGTACTATATTAGTTAGTGTTGATTACTATGTTTATACATAATAAAATTTTAAATTTGAAATTATTAATATGATATTAATAAGATATAGCTCGTTAACAAGCCTGCTCGCGAGCCGAGCCGAGCTAGTCTTTTAGCTCGTTAACATTAACGAGCCGAACCAAGCTGGTTCGTTAAGACAACGAGCTCAAACGAGCCGAGCCTTAATGAGCCGAGCTGGCTGTAGCAGCGGACGGCGGGGGAGGCAGCTCCAGCCTCCAGCCGGTGGAGTAGTGCCCCGTGTGGCCATGCCCCAACCTGTCGTCTGTGCTCGCACGGAAGCAGTGGACAGCACGCAGACAGGAATGGCCGGTGGCTGGTTATGCACATGACGCTCTTCAGTGAGCTGCTGTACTTGGCCACCGCCTGCTCCTTTCCGATGAACGAAGCAAACCCTGCATTAGACGGATTGAATTGTTCAGAGCCATGGCACATGCATGTACACAAATTTAGGATCTATTTGATTCTCTACTCTATCAATTCAATGGTAGTACTAAACTGTAAGTAAATTTTGGCACTACTAATTCTTTAGTAGAGTAAACTTTATATAACTAGGTAAAACCCCGCGCATTGCTGCGGGAATTTAGTATGATAACAATAAAAAATAACGTGTAAGATAGATAGATAACATCAGATTAAGTAAATTAATGTGGTTTATGATAATTTAAATTTAAATAGTATGTAGAATTGTGATTCAAACGTAAAAAAAATGCTGGTATGACTTTATGGAAGAAGAAAAGTAGGGAGATAGTTTGAACTGTAGATTAATCATCTAAAGGCTAAAAATAATGGAAAAAGTACGAATTGCCCCCCTGAACTATCACGGTCGTCCGAATTACCCCCCTGAACCCTAAAACCGGACATTACTCACCCTGAACTTTCAATACCGGACGAATTACCCCCCTCGACCCAATTCAGAGCGGTTTTGTCCTACGTGGCGTACACGTGGCAATCCAGTCAGCAATTTTTTTTTAAAAAAATAGTGGGACCCATGTGTCATACCTCCCCTTCCCCTCTTCCTCTCTTTCTCTCTCTTCACTCACTCTCTCTCTCTCTCAAAGTCACTTCTCTCTCTTCACTCACTTTCTCTCTCACGGAGTCACTACCTCACTGGGCGGCGCAGGGGCGACCCAAGAACGGCGGCTCCCGGGGCGCGCGGGCTCGGGGCGGCGCGAGCTCGCCGGCCTCCCAGCCCCCTCGTGCGGGTCGGCGGGGGTGGCGACGTAGCAGCGACGGGCGCGGAGGTGGAAGCAGATGGATGCGGCACCGGCGAGCTCAGGGCAGAGAGAGAGAGGGCGGAGTGGAGGGGAACATCGTCGTCGGCACGGACACCGGTGAGCTCAGGGCAGAGAGAGAGGGGGGCGGAGTGGAGGGGAACATCGTCGTCGCCACGACCATCGACGAGCTCGACCGCGTCGTCGGCCTCCTCGTCTCGCACCGCCGCCCACCAACCGCCCCCGCGCGCCGTCCTCCCCCGCCCGCCCTGCGAGGCCGCGCTCGCCTCCTCCGCTCGCCTCCTTCGCCGCCGCGCTCACCTCCTCGCCGCTGCCTCCTCCGTTCGCATCCTCCTCGCCGCCGCGCTTGCACTCTGCGTGACCCGCCTCCTCCGTTCGCATCCTCCTTGCCGCGGCGCTCGCACTCCGCATGGCAATGTATTATGAACAAATGCAATACGAAACTGGTTTGATTTTTTTTTTTGGTCTCTTTGACAGTTTTCAGGTCATTTTTAAACCAACAGCAAATGAAACAACCTGCATATGCTTGTGAAATCCCCCCGGGCACTGCTGCTGCTCAGGTCGGCGTGGGCGGTGGGCGTACGCCTCGCACGAGCAGTTCATGGCGCACCTCGCCGCGCACTCGTCGAACGTCATGTTCCCGGCGAGCGTCGAGAACTTGTCCGGCACCTTCATCCGCAGCAGCACCAAGAAACCATCCCCGTCGGCGCCGGGGCGGCGCCTCCTTCCGCCGGCAAACCCCCGAGAACCTGCCGGCGCTCCACTCCCCGCCGCTCGCTGGCTCGAAGCCGTCGAGGCACTTGCACGTGGCGGCGGCGGCGGCGGCGCCCGTCGTGATGTCGCAGTAGCCGTACGTGGTGCACTGGTGCGTCGGGAACGAGCTGAAGGTGATCCACTCCAACGAGCTCTTGTCCCAGGCCAGGAGCTGGAAGTTGCCGAAGTTGGTCATCACGTACCGCGTTGGCGACGCGCCGCCGCCGCCGCTCTGTCCCCCACTTGCCGTCGCGGCCGCCGCCGCCGATGCTCTGTCCCCCGCCTGCGGCCTGCCGTTTGTGAGAGAGAGAGGAAGAGTGAGAGAGAGAAGAGAGAGAGAGAGAGTGAGAGAGGGAGAGGAAGAGTGGATGAGAGTATGACAAGTGGTCCCATAATTTTTTAATAAATAGAATGCTGACTGGACTGACACGTGTACGCCACGTAGACTAAAACAACCGCAGATTGGGTCGAGGGGGGTAATTCGTCCGGTTTGCATAGTTGGGGGTGAAGAATGTCCGGTTTTCGGGTTCAGGGGGGTAATTCGGACGACCGTGATAGTTCGGGGGGGTAATTCGTACTTTTTCCAAAAATAATTGATGTGATATGACTTAATTAGAGCAAAAAGGAGAAATATAATTTGAACCATAGATTAATCATTTAAGTACTAACTAAGTGAGGATGAACTATATAAGTATATAGGATATCTTAAAACATAATAAAGATATACATTAAAACATTATGTGAATTATGTTGAATGATAATTTAACATGTTTATATTTAAAAAGCTTTTAAATTATAAAAACTATAAAGATATAGCATGTTTACATGATGTTTAAATGTGATGATTGTTAGTGGATGATGATGTGGCATCTTGTTAGTGGATAATGATGTGGCATCTTTACATGTCAAGCTTAAGGAGTTAGTAAGGGATAACTTTACAGTAAGATAGGATTTATGTTTAGTTTGCTACCAATATACTTTTTATAGCGAAGGAAGTTCCAGAATGGTACTAAATTAGGTATGGGCATCAGTTTCGCACAAATTAATAAAAAATGGTGGGGCCCACGTGGGCCCCACATGTCAATCTCACCCTTCTACCTCGTCTTCGAGTACATGGACCACGACCTCGCCGCCACGCCGGTGCTGCACTTCACGGAGCCGCAGGTCAAGTGCTTCATGGCGCAGATCCTCGTCGGGCTCCGCAGCTGCCATGAACGGGACGTGCTGCATCGGGACATCAAGGGCGCCAACCTGCTCACCGACGGCGACGGGCATGCTCAAGATCGCCGACTTCGGCCTCGCCACCTTCTTCGACGCCGCAAGGCCGCAGCCGCTCACCAGCCGCGTCGTCACGCTCTGGTACCGCCCACCGGAGCTCCTCCTCGGCGCCACCGAGTACGGCGTCGCCGTCGACCTCTGCAGCACCGGCTGCATGCCTGCATCCTCGCCGAGCTTCTCGCCGGCAAGCCCATCTTGCATTCTTGCCCAGCCAAACCAAGGTAAATAAATAAATATTATAACCTCAACTCTCCATCTATATGTCATGATATCATCTATGCGTGGATGAAATGGATCGGCATCTGATTTGCCATTGCTGATCGACACAGATCGAGCAGCTGCACAAGATCTTCAAGCTGTGCAGGTCGCCGTCGAAATAGTATTGGGTGAAGGCGAAGCTGCCGGACGTGACGCTGTTCAAGCCGCAGTGGCCGTACCGGCGGAAGATCGCCGAGACGTTCAGGGACTTCTCGCCGCCGGCGCTCGACCTCCTCGACACGCTGCTTGCCATCGAGCCGTCCGACCGGGCCACCGGGGCACCGCGCCACCGCCGCCGTAGCCCTCGACAGTGACGTAAGCACGCACACCTTCTCCCCTCCCTCTCCTCTCCTCCTCGCTCGCATGGATCTCTGACACGTCGTGTCCTTTGCTGCTGCTTAGTTCTTCAGGAGTTAGGACAAAGCCGCCTCCCGCCGCTTCCCGCCACCTCCCGCCGCCCCTTCCTCTTCCGCCCACAGCTGCGGGAGATGTGCCTCCGCGGCTGCGCGCCGCTCCCTCCTCTCCCGCCGGCCGCCGCGCACCGCTAACTCTCGATCGTGTCTGGAGAGAGGAGAGAGAGATGAAGAGAGGAGGAAGAAGAATAGGGGTGAGAATGACATGTGGGGCCACGTGGGCCCCACCATTTTTTATTAATTTGTGTGAAACTGACATGTGGGTCCCACGGGGTTTATTATTTTTTTAAGATCGAATTGCCACGTAAGCGCCATGTCATTGCCACGTCAGATAAAGACCGAGTCAAATTAGCCACGTAAGCACCACGTCAGCCAAAACCACCCTTAAAACCGTCGAGGGACCTAATCTGCACCGGTTTTGATAGTTGAGGGATCCGTTGTATCTAGTTTTCCGGTTGGAGGACGAAAATCGGATTCGTTGACAAGTTAAGGGACCTCAGATGAACTTATTCCGCCCAAAAAAGATAATGCTCATCTCGGCCCAACTTACGGTGGCCCAGTTTTCCGACAGCTAGCTAGGGCCATCTCGCACGGTCACAGGCGCATCACCCAAAATTTCGTCGCCTCTCTTCGCCCCGCACCGCCAAACACAACCCGCTTCGTTTTCACCTTGGTTCTCGATCGAACGAATTCCCCACTATCCCCAGCGATGCCGAAGCCGAACCACCAGGTTCCCGAAGCCGCCGGCGAGATAGGCTCCGCGGGGAGGACCAGCGTCAAGGGACGCCGCGGCATCCGCCGTCGACCGCGGAGCGCCTCCGCCTCCTCCTCCTGGGGCGGCGGGGCAGCAGGATGCAAGAAGAAGAAGGCGCAGGTGGGGGAAGAGGAGAAGGAGGCCTCGTCCACGGTGCCCGCCGTGTACGACGCCAACGCTGACATCGAAGAGGAGTACAGGCTGTTCCTGGAGAACGTGCGTGTCTACGAGAACGACGACTTCGTGGTGGAGTACGAGGGGGTGGTGGTGAGGTATGGAGGAGAAGCCGTGGCTGATCATGGCGCAGGTAGAGGGGCTCCTCCGGTGAAGGGTGTTCCTGACCCCAACCAGCTCAACGGCAGTGTGCATCGGCAGAAGGTACTAGCTAGCTTGTGTCCAAGTCTCCACGCTTTGTTTAGTGTTGCCACGCGCGCCTCTTAACACATCTATTGCACCTAGGCAAAAATGGTGGAAGGGCAGAAGAAGAACAAGGATAAGAAGAAAAGGGCCATTGTCCCATAGAGGATATTGAGAAGGTTCGTTCTCATGACCGGATGTACGTTTGTGTTCTTTTGAATATAGACTTACCAAGAAACCAAGACTATCAGAACTTGTATTTTGGCCGTGTGCATTCATCTAAGAATACAGAGGCCGAGTGTTGCCCATTATCTAAAAATCAAAACATGTATTTTAGACAAATTTACAATCACAACTCTAAAAAATAACTGCCCCACCGGTGATGACTCATTTTGCCGGCGCCGCAACCTTCTTCCATCTCCCTCCCTCACCATCATCTAAGCAGACCGCTGGGGTGGAAACTGCGGCTGTGATGACGGCGACCGCTAACCCTTCTTTCTTTCTTCCTCAAGCAACTGGAAAGGAGCGAGCTGCAGTGGTGTAGCGGAGGTAGTTGCTGCGGTAGAAGGCCGGGCCGTTTTTGGTAAGATCAGTTTGTTTGTTTTGGAGGAAAAACAAAGGAATTGGATTTCTAAGGATTAATTTCTATGAGTGTCATTTGGTTTCTAGGATTGAAGTATAGGAAAACCAAAGGAAAATTTCCCTTACTATAAGTTCTATAGAGAAAACATATGAATTTTTTCATCCACTCAAACCTCTTAGAAAATTTCTATGGATTGATATGTGCAAACATTCATAATACTTCATTTTTCCTATTCCTATGGGTCAAATTCCTCCAAACCGAATAAGCCCCAAGTGTGCTAGCGTACACGGCAGTGGTAGAGGCAGCTACAGTGCAGTGTGGTGGCAGCGGTTGGGGTGCGGACAGATATAGGTGGCCCTACACCTGGGTATGATCATACAGTAGTGATTTGTTGATTTAACACACTAGATGCGTTACTTCTTACCATTAGGTAGCGAATGTTGTACCACGTTTGTTATGAGAAAATACAATTTTGTTTGTTTTCTATATCTTCCATTGACTGTTGTTTTTGGTGGTTGGTTTCTCACTTGAGAGTTTACTGATATCCTTTTCTTTGTCCTGGTTTTGTAGCTCGTGGGTGCAGTGGGACTGGGAGTTGGGATGGCTCAGCAGAAGGAAGAACAAACAAGATGAGAGATGTATTAAGACTAAAACAAGATTGCTGGTCCTCTTTTTTGTTCGCCAGCCTATTGGGAATCATGATTTATTCTTGTGACCCACAGAACTACAGAAGCTAGTGCTTCCTGTTGAGATAGCTGCAGCATGCAGAACCAAGAGATGAGGATTTTTTTTTATTTGATATCATGTATGTGCTGCATCTTATTAGCATGTATTCACAGTAATACAATCGTTTAAAATTGGTTGGAGCTCTTTCTGTGTAAATAAAATCCGGCAGAAGATAAATTTTTTGAATGTTTGACTACTACATCTTCATTTTAAGGAACAATGCTTCCTATGTTTTGTTTTTGAGAACATATTTTTACTAGATCTATTGTTATCTTAAGAATTATTGAGAATCTAAAATTGCTTTGTATCTCTAAAACATGCTTAATTATTATAACATATTATTTGAAAATACATTATAGATTTTCTTTTGTATTTTCCGTAAGAATTAATTTGGTATCCTTCTTTTGTCATACCTCACTAGAAAAGATGCCCGTGCATTGCAATGGGTAGAGCCAATTTAATTTGTGCATATGTGTCTGTGGATAAATAATCACAGGCCATTGATTCGTTTATTCATGTGCTTATACATATCGATTATTGCCAAATAAATGATTATTTGTGTGCAAATCTTTTATATACACGTTCTCAGCGACTCAAAAGAAAATGCTGTAAAATAAAGTACGATAAATAACCAAAAAGTCAAATTCAAAATTAAATTCTAAAATTTAAAATTTGACTTATAGGAATAAGCATAAGCCAAATAATGAGGGCTTAAAAAACGAGCTCGATTTGTCGTCCAGCTTTATCTCAAGTCGGGCAGGAATGGATGACGGACAAAATCATTAACTTCGATCATCCTTTATTTTGGTTGGCATATTCTTTTCGAAAGTAAACTGATTCTTTATGGATTATTGTAAAAGTAACCCTACTAGTACGTACGAGCATGCGTGGAGACTGACTTGAAATTATGCTTTATGGATTATTGTAACAGTATCCCTACTAGTACGTACAAGCATGCGTGGAGACTGACTTAAAAGACTTGAAATTATGCTAACATGTTCCAGGAATCATGGCGTGTAGTACGAACAGAATCGGATGATCTGGGCAATGATGTACGTGATATCCACACGGACTCTGCGAGTTTCATTCGCTTGGTATCCATATCACACAGACTCTCTTTCATAGTTTGCTCGTGAGTCGTGACTTTGTAATGAATGTTACGCGTGACATGAATCGGATACTGATGACATACCATAGTTTTTACAAAAACATCTTCAATTTTTAAATCGAGGGAGAGGGCGATGCAGTCTTAATCGGACATGCGGCAGTGAAAAATCACGCGCGCGAGGCTGTTGTGGGCCCAGTTGCGGCAGCGTGCAAAGGCGCGTGTGGATAATGGACACTGCCATCGACGTCGACATCGACACCACCTGAGTACTGTAGCTTACTGCCATCGACGGTCGTTACACCATCGTTGTCATCCCCAACGCCCCTGACCTCATTGACATCCTCGCCACCAACGACGTCGACATCTCCGTCGTCGAGGGTGACGCCGCCGGCCTGGGCGAATTCCTCGCCTTCGTAGGCAACCTCCTCTTCCCCTTCCTTGCCTTCGCTAGCCTCTTCTTCATCTTCCGCCGCGCCCAGGGTGATCCTGACACCAGCCCTGGTAGCCTCGGTTGGCGCTTGGACTTCGACCGCTCCAAGAGCAAGTTCGAGCAGGTGCCCGAGAATTGTGTAACCTTCGTCGACGTCCTCGGCGCCGACCAGGCCAAACTCGAGCTGCAAGAGGTCGTCGATTTTCTAAAGAACCCCGACAGTCGCCGCCTCCTCCTCCTCCTCCTCCTTCCTCCACCAGGCCCGCCTCCCCTAGCCCAAGCCCCTCCTCGCCATCCTCCGCGCCCTTGGTGCCGCCCCCATACTCCTCGTCCTCGCTCCCCGCACTCACCGACGCATCCTCGCCCGCGCTTGCACCACCCCTTGCCCCGACCCACAAGGACCGGCGTGGCAAACGTGACGGATGACCGGCGGGGTGAGGAATGCAACGGTGGCTCTCGGCCGCTCCTACCCTCTCGAGCTCGCTGAGGTCGAACGCCGCCATCGACACTAGCTCCTTTCCTCCGGCCGCCGTAGCTAGGGCCACCTCTTGCCACCCCCTCCTCCTCCGCCCACAGCCGCCGGAGCCGCCCTTTCCTCCCTGCCTGACCAGGCTGCGATAGAGAAGGAGAAGGAGAAGGGCAGGAGATAGAGAAGAGAGGGGATGAGGTGGAGGAAGTGGGGCCACATACATGTGGGCCCATATATTTTGTTTTATTTAAAAATATGAAATTTTGCTTCATATACCACATCAGATGAAGACCGAGTCAAAATATCTACGTAGGCGCCACGACACCCAAAACAATCGTCCAAACCGCCATGGGATCTATTGGTTTTGACAGTTTAGGGACCCGTTGTATTAGTTTTCTAGTTGAATGATGAATCGAATCCGTTCACAAGTTAAAGTTTTCTGGTTGAAGGATGAAAATCGAATCCCTTCACAAGTTAAGACACCTCAATGAACTTTCCACCTAATAATAATAATTTGTTTGATCGTAGCTAACCTCGTTTACCCACTCGTTTTCGAGAAGGGAGGCGAATCTGATTCCAATCGAGGGAAGATGATGATGCCGGACAAGAAGAGGAAGAAAATTGCGGCAGCGGCGCCGGCGCCAGCACCGGCACCGGTAGCTCGGCTTGTCCGCGTTCGCTCGGGGAACAAGAAGAGGAAGGGGAAGGGGAAGGAGGCCCCAGCCGAGGGTTCTGCCGCAAAGGAGCCAGCGGTGTACATGGTGTTGGCGCACGGAGTGGAGGAGGAGCCCACCCACTCGGTAATCGAGGTCGCCGCCGGCGCCACCGTCCGCCTTTTGCTCCACTCCACCAGCGGCCGCGGCATGTCGTTCGCGGCGGTGGGGACGCGGATCGTGGGCATCGGGCTGGATCAGACCACCGTGTACGACCCCAAGACCTCCACGGTGCGCGCCGGCTGCCGGCTCGTGTTCCCTAAGGTGAACCCCGTCCTCGTCTCGCACGGCGGCAAGCTCTACGCCGTCTCCTGCTGCCCCTCCGTCGTGAACGGGCGGGACTTCGAGCCATGGTTCCTCGTCCTCGACAGCCTCGGCTACTTCGGATGGCGCGAGCTGCCGCCGCCGCCCATCTTCCCGTGCCGTCTCAACCCGCTGGAGTACCGCGATCCGCCGGCGGTGCGCGTCGCGGCCTACGCCATCGTCGGCTCCCACATCCTGCTCTCGGTGTCGGTGCAGCAGCAGGGCCAGGACAAGGGCACCTGCGCCTTCGACATGGACGCCGAGCAGTGGGAGATGGTGCTCGACACGAACCTGCCTTTCACCGGTCAGGCCGTGCCTCTTGGCGACCACCGCTTCGTTTCCTGCTCCATGGCAAAGGGCGGCGCGGCTTCAGTGTACTACATGGAGGTCATGGTCTTCCCTCCAGGAATTGCAGGTTCAGGCACAGGCAAGAAGGAGCTGTCCATCGTTGAGTTGCAGGTGGAATCCAAGCGCATTGTTCCGGGGCACCTTCTCTGCACCATGGGGAAGGGCAGCTTCTCCTCCTTCGACTTTCGATCCACTGCTTCCCCGGCCAAGCAGGACATAGTAGCACGTATTGTTCATCGCACTTACTCTCAGGCGGAGGCGGAGGTGGAGGCGGATGATTCTGCTGACACCGATTTGGTCATCACGGTGAAGCGGGAGGATCGGCAGATTTACAAGCTACGTGATCCACACACATGTTTGGCCCATCCTTCTTGGCCGGTTGCTGCTTTAACCATGTGAGTTTCAGAGCCTTTCAACATCTTCTAGTGCTCAACTTCTATTGCTGCTTCAGCAGTAGCTAGCTCCTTTCTTCAGGTTGCTTTTGCTGTTTAATTGATTTAGATCCTCGATTTACACTGTGAACTTGAATTGCAGCGCTAGAAGCACTATGGATAGTTAAAATCCATGACTCAAATAGTTAAAATCTTCTGACTCAAATATCTGTTTCCCCAAAATCCATGACTGTGTTGATCTATACTGTCTAATGGTAGTACAAAATAACTATTCAGTTTAATTTTTCTATATCTGATTACTTCCTAAACGGCTCGGAAAAGGGCTCGGAAGTTCTACTAGAGAATATATGCGTGCATGATATTGGTGTTTTGTGCTTCAACTTGATAAGCTAAAATCAGCCGCAGTACCCTGGTCAAGTTTTTCATTGTTTGCATATTGTCGTCCAGGAAGATGAGGTGGAGAAGCGTCCAGTTACAGGAATTCTAACCATCGAAAGTGGGCTGACTTCGATCTCGAAGATTGTTATGGAGATGAAATACCTGTATGAGAAACATAAGCAGTGGGATTGGAAGGTTAAACAGGTGGAGCAGAAGAAATATTTGGTGGAATTTCCATCCAAAGATGCTAGGAGGGAGTTAACAAGACTCAAGGGCTTTGACTTTGAATTATCCAATGCTAGAGCTAATGTTAGGGAGACTGAGAGAACCATTGAGGCCTTTGCCGAGCTTCAGGAGGTTTGGGTCAGAGCTACAGGAGTCCCACCATTGGCTAGATCTGAAAAAGTTATTGAAAAAATTGCCCACTTGATTGGAGATCCCATGGAGGTAGACTCAATTAGCTTGAACAGAGAAGCTGTGAGAGTAAAAGTCCTTTGCAGGGATCCTTTGAAGATAGGGGGGACGTCTGAGATCTTTCTAAACAGAGTTGGGTATAGGATTACTTGGAATCCTGAAGGAGTAAGACAACATCACCAAGATGATCCTGATGATCCCAAACCTGCATACAGATCAAGAGGGAGGAGAGGAGATGATGAGGAAGACTCTCAGGACAGCCATGAGGCTGACAAAGGGGAATCAAAAAAAGAAGAAGAAGAGAAGAAGGACACCCAAAAAAGGGAAGGAGATCATGGGCACAAGAGACACAAGAACAATGAGATGGTGGAAGAAGAGGAAGACTCTTTGGGGGAAGGGGAGAAAGTGGATATACCTGAGTATATCCCAGATATTTCAGATGAGGCAGAAGAAGTGGTTTTATGCTCACAAGGGAAGGAGGTCCAGGGAATTAATGAGTAAGTGGAGCAAATGTTTTAGAAGAATTAGGAGAAGATGGTAACAATATAGGGGGGGTCACTCCTGTTATACAACAAGAAAACAAGGCTGCCGAGGAGGAAAATGAGATTTCACTAAAGGATCGGATGGAGGATGATATCAGAGTTCTAGAGATGATCACTGGAGAAGTGAAGGGGCAAGAGCTGACTAGTGATGGCTTTATCTCATCGGGGAAGAAGAAGAAAAGGAAGCAGAAAGAGAAAGTGGTGGCTACAAGACAAAGCTCAAGAATTGCAAGAGACGGAGTACCTGTTGCTCTGAAGGCTCAACAAAGGACTTCGGTGAGGAACGACATTTCAGGTAAAAATAAGTATGCTATTTTTAATACTGTTGATGAATCTGTGCTGGTGAATATAGCTAGAGATGAAGGTGTAGATTTAGGAACTTCAGAGGGGTTGCAGAATCAGAACATTGAAACAATTAAAGCCAGAGAGTTAGCTCAGTCAATGATTCACACTGCTAAAGAGAGGTTGATCAATGAAGACCCAATTGAGAGGCTGCCTTTGACAACAGAGATAGAGGGATGTGTATTTCCCACTACGGAGGCTGCAGGCATAGAGCCGGCCAAAGTAGGGGGAGATACCAAAAGAAAAAACACAAGTTAATAATGAGAGTGTTATATTGGAATGTGAGGGGGCTTGGGAATATGGGCAGGAGGGGGCTCCTTAGAGAAGTGATTCACCAGAATAAAATAGAGGTCATTTGCCTTCAAGAAACAATAAGAGAGAGTTTTCATTTAAGGGAGTTGAGGAATTTTTGTGGAGGAAGAGACTTTCAATGGATAACTAAACCAGCCAACGGGCACTCTGGAGGTTTGCTGCTGGGTGCAAATTTGGATCTGTTCGAAGTAAAGGAGATGGATTTGGGTGAATTTTTTCTCAGCATGGTACTAAAAAATAGAAGGGATGGTAAAGAGTGGGGGATTATTAACATTTATGGCCCAGTACAGGGGGAAAAGAAGGATGATTTTCTGAGGGAAATTTTAGGCAAAAGTAACAGTATGCAGATCCCCTTTATGATGGGTGGGGATTTCAACATGATTAGGTTCCCAGATGAGAAGTCTAACGGTAATATACATAAGAGGTGGGCTGACAAGTTCAATAGTTTCATTGCCTTGGCAGAACTAAGGGAGCTTCATAGATCGGGAGGCAAATATACGTGGACAAATAAACAAGCAGACCCTGTCATGGAGGTTTTAGATAGGGTGTTGGTGTCCTCTTCGTGGGAAGAGATGTATCCTCTAACGATGGTTAAAAGTCTGTTAAGAGTGGGATCTGACCATAATCCGTTGTTGGTAGAATTAGAAAAACAGCTGGTGTGGTCGAGAGATGCTTTCAGATTTGATCCATCTTGGCTTACCCAGGAAGGATTCAAAGAGTGGCTGATAGCTAAGTGGCCGGAAAGGAGGAAGAAACATATCTTAGATCATTGGAATTGTCAAGGGACAGTTCTCAGGAGGCTAATGAGAGGGTGGGCCAGGAATAGGAGGGGTGATTTAAGAAAAGACAAGGATTGTTGGAAAGAATTAAGAAAATAGACGAGGAGGCTGAAAGAGGGGTGCTGTCAACAGCAGAATGGGCCGAAAGATATCAAGTAGAGGAGGATTTAGTCAAGATCTATCAAGCTGAGGAGATTTATTGGCAAATTAGGAGTGGCACAAAGTGGACCTTGGAAGGCGACGCAAACACATTGTTTTTTCATGGGGTGGTGAATGGGAGAAAAAGGAAAACAATGATAACCTCCCTCGAGGATGGGGGGAGGGAAATCAATGATCAAACAAAGTTAAAAGAACATGTTTACGGCTATTATAAGAAGCTGTTCGGGGTTGAGCAAGCACCAAAAGTGTTTCTGAGTCAAGATATATGGAATAATAGGGGGAAGCTGAATCAAGAAGACAATGATAAATTGACCAGGCCATTCACCATGGAAGAGATAGAGGAGGCTCTAAGAGGGATGAAATCTAACACGGCTCCCGGACCCGATGGCTTCTCAGCGACTTTTATCAAAGAATTTTGGCCACAACTTAAAGACCAAATTAAAGAGATGTTAGATATGATGTTTGAGGGGGATTTAGACCTTTGGAGACTGGATTATGGTGTAATAACTTTGATCCTGAAAGTGAAGGATGCTAACACAATTAAGCAATTCAGACCGATCTGCCTGCTGAATGTTAGCTTCAAACTTTTAACAAGGATCTTAACAATCAGACTGACAAAGGTTGCAGAGAAAGTGATTAGCCCGAGTCAAACAGCTTTTATCCCAGGTAGATATATTTTAGATGGGGCGGTCATTCTTCACGAGGTCCTGCACGAATTGAAGAGTTCACACCAATCGGGGATAATTTTGAAATTAGACTTCGAAAAAGCTTATGATAAAGTGAGGTGGAGCTTCCTATTCGATGTTTTACAGAGAAAGGGTTTTGATGATAAATGGATAGGGTGGATTAAACAAGCAACAACGAACGGTAGAGTGGCTATAAACTTTAATGGATCGAGTGAGGAGTTTTTCAAAACGCATAAGGGGTTGAGACAAGGCGACCCTCTATCCCTTTTGCTTTTTAATTTGGTGGCAGATGCTCTTGCAATAATGTTGGACTTAGCAAAAGAAGCTGGCCATTTAGAAGGACTGGTACCACATTTATTTCCAGGAGGTTTGACACATCTTCAATACGCGGACGACACGATTCTTTTTATGGCCAACTCACAAGAAAGTGTGCTGACGACTAAATTCCTGCTATATTGTTATGAAGAGATGTCAGGAATGAAGATTAATTATCAGAAGAGCGAGGTCATTGTTGTGGGGGCTGATGAGGGCGAAGCACAACGAGTGGCGGATATATTCAATTGCAAGCTTGGGAAACTGCCTATCGGATATTTGGGGGTTCCAATCAGTGATGGCAGACTTTCGGCAGCTGAACTAGGAATTCCCTCTGAAAAGATCGAGAAACGGCTGGCCACATGGAAGTGTGGTCACCTATCGCAAGGGGGCAGAGCAATCTTAATCAATTCCTGCCTTAGCAGCATACCAATGTACATGATGGGGATGTATTTGCTTCCTGAATCTATACACCATAAGATGGACAGTCTAAGGTCTAGGTTTTTTTGAGAAGGATTGGAAAACAAGAGGAAATATCATATGATTAAATGGGAGGCGCTGTGTAGGCCAAAAGAATTTGAAGGGTTAGGGTTTACCAACACAAGAGTGATGAACATAGCCTTGCTATGTAAGTGGATTTTCAGACTAGAGTCGGGGAATGCAGATCCGGTCTGTAACTTGCTAAGGAGAAAGTACTATGGGAGTGGTGGTTTTTTCCAAACAACTGCGGAAGGGGGGTCACAATTCTGGAAGGGACTTCATGAAGTCAAAAAATGGATGACGATGGGGAGTAAGTACAAAGTGGAGAGTGGGGGAAATACTTTCTTTTGGGATGATGTTTGGGTGGGAGATACTGCTTTAAAAATTCAATTCCCATATCTGTACAATATTTGTAGAGCTCCTAGAGCTACGATCAAACAAATTTGTACAAATGGGGAGTGGAATATCGAATTAAGAAGATCATTAAGTGAGCAAGACCTTGAAGAGTGGGATAATTTGCATGAGATTCTAGAGAGGGTGACGTTAACAGAAGAAGATGACAAAATGAGCTGGGGTCTGACTAAATCAGGGTGGTACACTACTAAGTCGCTTTATAAAGAGATGATTTTTGGAGGGGTAAGAGACAGAAGAGCCCAAGAAATTCTAAGTATCCCAGTGCCGCTGAAAGTTAAGATTTTCCTCTGGTTAATGATAAAAGGGCGCATACAAACAGCTGAGCAATTAAAAAAAATGAAATGGCCTGGTGAGGTGGAGTGCAAACTTTGTGGGGAGTTAGAAGGGGTTGATCATCTAATTTTCCAATGTCCCCCTACTAAATTTTTTTGGTGTTGTGTTAGAGATGCATTAGGCTGGGCTAAAGTGCCGAACACTAGAACAGAGCTGCTTGACAAGCTGCTTTGCCCAGGCAATGCTCGCAACACCCCGTTGTTGTGCCTTGTTGCGGCGGGAACCTGGGCAATTTGGCTGTTTAGGAATGATTGGGTGTTTAACAACAAACTTATGTCAGATGTACTTCAATTACCTTATAAAGCTGTTTCATTTTTGAAGCAATGGAGTGTTAGGGTAGTCTATTGGATCACCTAGGTTTAGATCTAGTCGGGTGGTTCTATTTGCAATGGATGAACAACAATAGATGAATGAACAAAGAGGGAGTGAGAGGATTTAGGGTTGTGACCAGTCGTTGTTGAGGAAGAGGAAGTCCGGCCGGCCATCGTCGTTGTCGTCGCGGGCTTGACGTGGACGGCAGCGACGATGTGCTTGGTTCCGATGGCGGTGATGCGGTTGCAGCAGCGACGGTGTCGACGACGAGGCGTGGCGCGGCGGTGGACTTCCCGTCACTGGCTGCGCCCCCTCGATCGGTTAGGGTTTATGGGGTGGAGTGGCGGCGGCGGCGACGAACCTCGTTCCTTGTGTCATTGTCCCGTCCCGTCCTCCACCCCTCTTTATATGGCACAGTGTGACGGGGGCCCACCAGCGATTGGGGCTGGGCGCCCCCGATCAGGGCGCGGGTCAAGGCCCCCTTGAGCCGTTGGGCTCAAGGGGAGGGAGATCCATCTAACATTCTCCCCCTTGATCTCACTATTTCCTTTAGCTTTTTCTATTCCATCACAGATTTACATATAGAGCATGTTTCATCGTCACGGTTAATTACCGATGGATTCGACAGCCACTATACACATCTCTATTCAGAAACAGATACTTTAACTTTTGGGCCCTATAGTCCAGGATTCATAAGGCTTCCCTTAAAACCCATGCATGCTACATGTTCCTTGAACATGTTGGGAGGTAGGCCTTTCATGAGCGGATCCGCGAGCATCCTTTCTGTTCTTATGTGCTCGAGACTGATTGTTTGATCCCGGACTTTGTCTTTCACAACATAGTACTTTATGTCAATGTGTTTGGCAGCACCACTTGACTAATTGTTGTGAGAGTACATTACTGTGGGTTCTTTATCGCAGTATAACTTTAGTGGTTTCTCAATACTATCAACCACCTTTAAAACCGGGTATGAACTTCATTAGCCAGTTCACCTGCCCCGTAGCCTCATGGCATGCTATAAACTCGGCATACATGGTAGACCCTGCAGTGGTAGTCTGTTTTGAGCTTTTCCATGAAATAGCTCCTACTGCCAGGGTAAACATGTATCCCGATGTTAACTTTGTATTATCTTTTGCAAAGTCAGAATCCGAATACCCCACTATCTGGAGCGATTCTGCTTTTCTGTAAGACATCATGAGGCCTTTTGTTCCTTGCAATCACGCAAGACTTTCTATACCAATTTCCAGTGCTCTAGGCCTGGATTACTTTGAAATCTGCCAAATAACCCGGTAACAAATGCCAAGTCAGGTCGTGTGCACACTTGCGCGTACTGTAGGCTTCCTACAGCTGACGCATATGGCTTTGTTTTCATTTTATTGAGCTCATACTGATTTCTAGGACATTGCGATGCCCCATACTTTTCGCCTTTGACTATAGGAGCAGGTGTAGCACTGCATCTGTACATATTGAATTTCTTTAACACCTTTTCTATATATATACCTTTTGAGAAAGTCCCAATGCATACTTTGTTCTATCTCGGTGAATCTCTATGCCCAAAACATATGATGCCTCACCGAGGTCTTTCATGTCAAAGTTTGAGGACAAGAATTTCTTTGTTTCCTGTAGTAGACTGACATCACTACTAGCCAGTAGAATCTCATCTACATACAGAGTTAGGAAAATGAATCTCCCATTCTTAACTTTGAATGAATACAATTGTCCTCTACATTCTTTTGAAAACCCAAATTTCTTTATTGTTCCATCAAACTTCAAGTAGCACTATCTCGAAGCTTTGCTTTAATCCATAAATGGATCTCTTTATACGACATCCCATATTTTCGTTTCCTTTCATGACGAAACCTTTCGGTTGTGCCATGTATACTTTTTTCTTCAAATCATCATTTAGAAATTCCGTTTTTACATCCATCTGATGTAATTCCAAATCATAATGTGCCACTAGTGCCATTATAATCATAAAGGAATCTTTACAAGAGACTGGAGAAAAGTCTCATTGTAATCAATGCCTTCTCTTTGCGTGAAAACTTTTGCCACAAGTCGCACTTTAAACTTTTCTATATTCCCTCTGGAGTCATATTTGGTTTTGTAGACCCATTTATAGCCTACTGTTTTGGCTCCTTTAGGAATTTCTTCTAAATCCCAGACATCATTTAATTTCATTGATTTCATTTCATCTTTCATGGCTTCCATGGCCTTTGCATATGAGGTGGGATCATCCTCCATATGCTACTCTTTCAGGCCTTCTAGGGGCCTCCTATTCTGACACATTATCTGTTTGAGGCTGTTGCAGCTCCTCCTCTGATGTGGCAATAATTTCTGTTGAATCCTGTAGAACAGGTTCCTCACTTTCATTCATTTTTGCCACAGGAGAGATAACAACATGTGTTGGTACCGCAACGTCATGCATTGCAAGCACAACATCAGCAGGTAGAGAGAAGAAAGGTTCCTGAGTCGACGGAGCGGGTACAGACACCCGCCTCTCAAGATCAATTTCTCGAACTACCAAGCTCCCCCTAATCATTTCGTCTTCCAAGAAGACGACGTGTCTCGTTTCTACAAACTTTGTATAACTGTTTGGACAGTAGAAACGATGACCCTTTGATCTTTCAGAATAGCCAATAAAATGGCAGCTTACTGTTTTGGGTTAAATACTTTATCCTTTGCAGGACTCCCCCACACACGGAGGATCCATAGCTCATACGGTGTTTTGGGCACCGATGCATTCTATACATTGTATGCATCGTTCTAAAATTGAGAACTCCAATGGAGGAAGAACTACATTCTTAACCAGTCTCTCAATTCTCCCCCTCGAAATATGGCATAAACAACAGTGCCATAATTTCGATGAGACATCAGAAGTTCGCTTTCTTTTCTTTTGTCAACGAGGACACAACATTCACATTCTCAGAAAGAGATAACAAATAAAGCTGATCTTGCAACACAAGACCAATACATTCATTATTATACCATAGTTCACATTTGCCATTTCATATCTATCAGAATCCAATTTGGATACACTTATTATCAAGTTTCTTTGCAAAGAATGGACATAAAAACATCTGGAAGTAAAAGTGTGAAGCCATTCGTGAGTTCTAGGCGAAGATCTCCAACAGCTTCAACTTTTGCTTCAACTCCATTGGCAACTCTAATGGATCTTTCACTTCTTTGCGTAGTCCTCATTGAACGGAATCCTTTAAACAATTACACACATGAATAGTTGCTCCAGAATAAATCCACCATGTGGATCTAGAATAACCAATCATAATGAGATTCTTTACAAATGTAATAATGTTCTCACCTTTCTTTGCCATGATCACTGTCAGGAAGTTAGGATGATCTTTCTTGGAATGTCTTGTCTTCTTGCAGTGTAGACACTGATCTTGTCTCAACTGTAAACTGTTATTTCTGAGGCAGATGCTGAGGCTGTTTTTCTTTTGAGGAGGGTGACCTGTGGCTCTTTTCCTTGTTATCTTTGACAAGGTTAATGGAGTCACCATTGGTCTCTTTGTGTCTTTCCTCCTCTTGCACACAATTAGAGATGAGCTCTTCAATATTCCAATTCTCTGTACTTATTTTGTAATTGACAACAAGGTTGTCAAAGTTCTTTGGCAATGAGGACAAAACCAGATGGACCAGAAAGTCATCTGAGATGCCCAAATCTTTTTGCTTCAATTTGGAAGCCATGTTGCTCATCCTAAGAATGTGGTCTTTTACACCACCTCCATGGTACCTCTCTGTAACAAGCTGCTTTATCAGCTGTGTCGCATAAAACTTTGAAGAACCAGTAAACTGGCTCTTTATACTTTCGAGGTACTTAGAGACAGTGTCATACTCTGGGATTGAGCCCAATATTGTTGGCTCAATCGTGTTCTTTACCGCAGCCAAACAATTCTTGTTGGCTGAAGACCATTTCGCATGCTCAATGTCATACGACATGATGAGGGAAGCATTGTCCCTCTCTCTCTTTTGCCATTCAGCATCTGACTCTTTTTCACCTCTGAAAATTTCAGCAGGTTCTATAGGACATGGGGTAGTCAACACCCAGTCCACCTCTCCCAAGATAAAAGCAAGGTCGAGTTCTCTTTTCCATTCTTCGTAGTTATCTCCTTTCAGGGTCGGAATATCTTTAATGTAACCCATCAAGGAGTAGCCACCTGAGATAATCATGTATTGTGAGAACAAAATTAACATTAAAATTATTATGTATTAAGTCTACATCACCGTTGGGCAGAAAATAGACATAACACATAAAGCCATAACTATAACATTGCAATTATCAACGTTGGTCAGAAAAATTACAACATCATAGCACATAATTAATGTTCCTAAAATTAAAATCTCCCGTTGGTTCGAAATTTAATTTTAGAAACACTAATTTTCATCAATTTCATCTATTTGCAGCGGAAGATCTATATACAATTCGTATAAACAATAACAAAACTCTGTTATTTACTCTCTGTAAAATTCTCCCGTTGGTTCAAATTTAAACAGAGGTAAAACATGTAAAAACAATTTAAAATTCTATTGTAATTTGCATGAAAATATACAAAATACATGTTCAGAAGCATTTCTCACATTTATCTATTCTCTAAACAATTTTCACGTTGGTTCAAATTGCTTAGAAATAATCACAATAATTAAACATATTGAAAATGCTTCCTTCGGCCGAGGGACTTTTATTAAACTTCTTTTTCTTCTTTTCCTTCTTTCTTTCGGCCGAGAGACCTAAAGTGGACTTTTGGCCGGCCTGGCCCGTCCGGCCCGCGGCCACCAGCCGACCGTCACCATCCGGCCATCCATTTGCTAGGGTTAGGATCGGACGGTCAGCCGCCGAGTTCGGGGAAACAAAAACCCTTCCTCCCGACCGGCCGAACCCTAGCCGTACATTTCACTTCTCCTCTCTCCCTCCTCTCTCTACACCGGAGCGGCGGCGCCATCGGCGGCGGCCGGAGCACCATCGGCGGCGGCTGGAGGAGGTGGCGGCGCCGTCGCGGGGCCCCTCGCTGGCGCGCGTGCTCACCCTAGGCAGAGCGCGCCGCCGTCGAGCGGCCTTGCAACGGTGTGGTAGGCGCCCTCTCGTCTCCCCCCGGCTTCGGCGACGGCCGGCGATGGCCGGCGACGGCGGTGGATGGGGAAACACGGCGGCGCCTTCTTTTCTTTTCTCTTCTCTTCTCCCCCCACCGTCTCTAGCCCCCACCGCGAAGTGAGAGAAAGAGGGTGGCGGCCGAAGGAGATGGCGGCGCCGCCGCGGGCCCCCTCGCCGGCGCGCGCGTGCACTCGCGGGTGCGCGCGCGGCCGTCGAGTGGCTCCTCGGCGGTGCCTCTTTGCCCCTCCCCCCCTCCGTGGCCGGCGTCATCGACGGCCGGCGACGAGGTAAGATTAGGGTTAGGGTTTCGATCTTTTTGATCCGTTGGATCGTTTGCTTTTCTCTTTGGATTTCTTTCCCGAACCAATCTAAACACTAGGGTTGCTCTGATACCATTGTTAGGGTAGTCTATTGGATCACCTAGGTTTAGATCTAGTCGGGTGGTTCTATTTGCAATGGATGAACAACAATAGATGAATGCACAAAGAGGGAGTGAGAGGATTTAGGGTTGTGACCAGTCGTTGTTGAGGAAGAGGAAGTCCGGCCGGCCATCGTCGTTGTCGTCGCGGGCTTGACGTGGACGGCGGCGACGATGTGCTCGGTTCCGATGGCGGTGATGCGGTTGCAGCAGCGACGGTGTCGACGACGAGGCGTGGCGCGGCGGTGGACTTCCCGTCACTGGCTGCGCCCCCTCGATCGGTTAGGGTTTATGGGGTGGAGTGGCGGCGGCGGCGACGAACCTCGTTCCTTGTGTCATTGTCCCGTCCCGTCCTCCACCCCTCTTTATATGGCACAGTGTGACGGGGGCCCACCAGCGATTGGGCTGGGCGCCCCCGATCAGGGCGCGGGTCAAGGCCCCCTTGAGCCGTTGGACTCAAGGGGAGGGAGATCCATCTAACATGGAGGACTCTAGTACCGGCGAAGATGGAGGAAGATGTGGAGGCTACAAGGCTCTTGCTGTATGCCAGAATCCAAGAGGTGCGAGGGGAGGTAAAGGCATGACTTCCAAGCTGGCGCCAAAGGATCGAGCGTCTGGCCGAGCAGAGTTCTTTTCACTGTAATTGCTTTGCATTTGGCTCCTGTGTGTTGTGGAGAGGGCTGTCTCCAGGGTGGGGACTTCTGAATTTCTGGATTGACTACTGTTGCTGTCCGGAAAATGAGTCAATCAAGAGCTAGTCTGTCTGTCTTTTTTGTTCTGGCTTGTTAGTGCTGTGCCAGCAGCAGTAGGTCTGCAAGTTGCTTTGTGCCTCTCTAGTTCGCTGGCTTCCCCAGCAGTTTATTTTGTTTCTGTACTGAACTCGTATGCTTTTAGTAAAAGCTGGGCATGAGCCTTCTCTCTAAAAAAAAAAAATACTAGCTAAGCTAAATATTTTGAGTGATAGAAGAATTGTAAATTAACTGTGCAGTATCATGTTTCTGTGTTTGAGCAAAGCCTGGCATTTCTTTGGCTTTAGCATCTGTAAGTACAAATGAAGATATGCTCCCTTCAAATTTTCCTCTCTTTCTAGTTGAACCTCTATGGCTGCCTGCTCAGATATGAGTATATGCTAGAGCTTCTGTATGAGGTATCTTCCTTCTGTAAGCACCCTTAAAATTGACCATACGACGAATCTGGATTCTTTTGGAAATACTGTTGTAGAAATTAGTGTTGGAAGTATTGTTTCTTGTAGTTAGTTGGTGTTGCTGATTGCTGGAATGATTATATGATCAGTATCGATCCCTCTGTTAAGAGAAAAGATAGGTTAGCATAGTCCACTCTTGCACACCATGTTCTATGCCCATGCTGCCCCAGCCTATAAATCCAACTGCTACATATAATATCCACAAAAGTTTACAGAACAAATTGATTTGATCATACTATCAGAGTGCTTTACTTTGTACAGAAATGTGGATTCATTGAGAATACAGCAACTAACAAACAAAGATTAACCTGCAAGAGCTGTGGTCCTTTGAACAGAGGCTGGAGCCTTGTTTAACAGGAAGGTGGCAACTCATTGTATGTAATGGGTGCCTGCATTTACGCTCGACATTTCTAAGTCGAATGTGCCTTTTTCATGTTGCATGCTAGATGAAATCATCTAAACAATGCTAATGCTTGTTTCTTCACTGCCATTAATTGATAGTTCTTAAAATGCTTCACTTCAATTCCCTGTGTAAATTGTTAATTTTCAAAACAACTAAGTTATGTTTTACAAACCTAGGGTGATACTGGCTCAAATATATCTCTAGGAAAGTAAATCACACTCCTATGTCAATGTTTAGCAATCCTAGGGTGATATGATCTCAAGTATATCTCTAGGAATGTAAATTGCACAAATGTAAATGCGACAAATAAATGAGATAAGGAGAAAAGAGATTATTCACCGAGGTTCGGAAACTCGCAGGTTTCCTACTCCCCGTTGAGGCGAGTCCACTTCCACCGCTCAACCACGAAGCCACCGCACGCCCCCTTCGTCAAGGGGTGGGCAAGGCGTGAGCCGGCCCACGGAGAGGACTACCCAAGCCTCAATCGCTTGGGGTAGTTCTTCCTTCACTCCGAAGGTGGTGAACTCCAAACCACTCACAACTGGCGCTGGGCCTCCTCCACAATCTTCTTGGAGAGGTCACCGGGCAACTCCTCCACAAGCCGTCTAGGAGACGGCAATCTCCAAGAGTAACAAGCGATGACGCGGCTCGGAGATGATCAAGTGCCACACTAGCTCTACAATGGAAGCAATGCACTTGACTCTTGGCTAAATCAACCCTCAACCACTACAATGGATGAACACTAAGCTCAAATGTGTGTGAGAGAGGTGCAAGGGGTGTATGCAATTGAAGTGGGTGCCAAGAGAGTCCCCTTACTGCTGGTGGGGGAGTATTTATACTCCCACCAACCAAAACTAGCCGTTAGGGGCGAAATCCCCCAACTCTATGTGCCGCCGGTCCGACCGGAGGTAAGTGGCCGGTCAGACCGTGCTACTTTGCAACGGCTAGAAAACTAGCCGTTGTAGCCCTGTCAGAGGGCCCCATCGGCCTGGCCGGTCAGATTGACGTTGAGTGGCCGGTCAGACCGGCCTCGGCTCGGTCAGACCGCCCTCAGCTCGGTCTGACCGAATACAGCTCCGTCGGCTCTGCATCGGCCAACCCCGAGCACTCCATCCCGGCCATATGGCCGGCCGGTCAGACCACCCCGAAGCCGTCGGTCAGACCAACCTTTAGCACCGGCCAAACTGCCACTGTTAGGCCGGCCAGACCGGCCAGGGACCGGTGGTCTGACTGGCGGCAGACGCACGGTCAGACCTGCTCTGGTCAGGCCGAACACAATGAATGCATGTGTGTGTGAAAAGTATTAATACAAATGTGAGCACAAGTGAATATGCAAATGACCTAAGTGGCAATTAAAATCATCTCTTTGCTAGGTCATTACCCCTCTTAATAGTACGGCAAAGCTATAAATAAACTAGCACAATTTTGATCGCCCAATGCCTCGATCAATTTTAAAAAAAGGCACTAGTTTACCGTCTTCTCTTCCTTTTGCTTTGCGCCGTCAATTTTAATCCATCGGTAATCGTCCATGCGCACACATAATGTGAACCTAACTTAAAATATATAGCTCAATAGAACAGTTAGTCCACAATTAGCATTTGTCATTAATTACTAAAATTAACAATGGGGGCCTAGATGCTTCAGGTGTCCCACAAAACTCCACAGGCACTTGCGCTCCTTCCGCACTAAGCAGTGTGCTCCTGCCACTCGAAGTTCGTTGCCCCAAATCGTCGTGACCCAAAAAATCAGGGCTGATTTCTTCATTGCTTTGGATTATTTGATTTGATTGCAATCCCATAGAAATCCCTCTTGCTGATTGTATTTGGGGTCTAGAGTCCGAATCGTCCCTGAGTCCTTCTCTTCTCCCCTTCTATATTCGACAAGGCTTACCACTCGTCCTCTCCGCGTGTACATATTCCTAGGCATGACTCCGAGCTGGAATCTATAAAATCAAGGTGTTGATTTAGTCTTAGTGATGAACTATTATCAAAGGTGATAAATAAGTGAATGTGTTGATATATGTCAAATTGTGTTTTCGTGGTGAAGTGTCGGGGTGCTGGCAGTCAGAGGAGCACGGTAAGGTCGGTTAGAACGATGGTGCTTAGGCGGTCAGACCGGTCGGGCAACTGTGGTCTGATTGGGTAACGCGATGATCAAACCGACAGATTCTAGGAGGGACTCGATTTTGGGTTGTTTCCGTGGATGTTTGTTATTGCTTCATATGTATGACTTCTAGATGGTTTCTACAAGTATGTGCATGATACTTTTTGTGTGCTGACGTCAGCCAAGTTGCTGCGAACTTGTACTCGGATATGGTTTCTTTGATTGTTCATGTGTAGGTGTTGCTCGCGGCCTCGGGAGAATTGCCGATGATGGATCGGGACTAGGCTTGGGTGAAGTTGTGGTTTAGATGGTCAAGGAGATCATACGGGATTCTAAGGCTAAAGAACAATGCACGTATAGGTGAAGGTTTCCATACAACATCCAATGGGATTGTGTGCATATGGGAAGCGGAATCAAATTTAGAATGAAGTGTGGGAAGATTGGACTTCGGAGTTGTAAAGGGATGTTGTTTTCCTTGTTTGAGGGTTTCCTATGTGATAAGGGTTACTTCCTATGTGATCAGGATTTCTAGTTATAGTTGGATTTGCTACTGTATGCATCCATGTTTTAGGTATAAATAGATGAGGGGTATAGACTCAAAGAACATCGATTTTCTGGGGGAGAAAAGTTAGGGTTTGCTTCGAAACTTCGATTCGATTTCATGAGTTGATAGAGGAGTGCTCTGGATGCACTTTGTAAACACATTGAACAAAGTTAATCTACTTTCAAGAGTTTCATCAATTTTTTAGATTCTGATGGTTAGACCGGCATTAGGCGCATGGTCTAACCGGTGAGCTATCCAACCGATAGCAAGTAGGTGGTCAAACGGGTGGAGGCAAGCAGGCAGCAGGTAGGCAGGAAGGAGGCAATCTTACCGAAGGCTTCAAGGCAATTTGACCAGTTACAAAGTGGCGATCTGACCGACGACTACTAAGCGGTCTGACTGGCGCAATCCATCAGGTTTGAGGGTTCCTTTCAATTCCACGAAAAAGATTAGTTTTTCCCTACCATTCATCCTCCTTCTAGTAGGCTTGGTTCTTGTATTTCAATGCTATAGAGTCATCCTCTCCACTTCTTTACATGTCAAGGCGAATACCGTACATATATTCAACACAAACTCTAAAAAAAAAAACTGATATTTATCCAACGTATGTCTAGATACTTGATGTGCAAAGCATGTTGCCCATTTTCCCAACTTGCGCTCCCTTCCTTGCACTTATTTGGGTTTGCCTCTATCTGTTTACGAGGCATTGCTTCCCTCCCATCATAGTACTGCTTCTTTCTACCTCTGTTAACAAATTCTAGATTGAAATGGAACCTTACTGCAAGAGTCCTTAAGGGATCCATAATGCCACGGCTCAAATAGCCTACATGCAGATTGACCAATAAAAAAAATCAGCACTTGCTTACTAAACTACAGTATTATAAACTACACTGCATCCAGATCCTTAACACCACCTTTGCACCTAATACTTAATAAAATACCTCCCAGTTGAACAGATCAACTACATCCACATACACAACGACAATAAACTAGTTTGCATCCACACTAAATCCAACAAAAAAAAAACCAAATCTACCACATTATAAGACTTCCACCAAATCGAATCAATGTGTGTTCGCTTCCAACGAAATGTTGATAGCATAAGAACGTACCTCCACTGATTCCACCCTGCAAATCGATGTGTGGTGCCCGTCGACACCCGCCTTGCTCATCGCCGGCTTCCAAACTGCCCTCCCTCCGAGTCACCTTCTATGCTCCCCTCTACACTAGAGTTTCGGGGGAACAAGAACGTGGAGAGAGAGAGAGAGAGAGAGAGAGAGAGAGTACAGGCGCGCGTCTGTTTTAGCTGCGTTTAACAATGGCATCTTGCTGACTCAGGCAAGGTGGGCTCGGACATCTGCCGACTAAGCAAAAACAGGGGTAAATGAGGTCTATACTACCATGGGACGTAAGTTGCACAGTTTTGAACACTTGAGCGGTCAAGGTTTTTGGTACTGGGGATTAGGGACATGTCAAACAAACTCGACGTGAAGTTGAGGGACGGCAGGTGGACTTATTCAAGACAATGGAATGGGAATGGGAGTTGGGCTGCAGAGGAAGAAAGGAAGAGAGGATGTCCAAGATGAACAGTATGATTTGTTTATTCCCATGGATTTTTAGTATTCAAATTGGTAGGGATTTGAACTGAATTTAGATTTTGATGGCCTCTATTTTTCGTGGAAAGTTTTGGAGGAATAAAATGTTGAATTTCAGACCTTTGACACGAGAGTCAAGTTACTCATAAGAATCAATTTTGAAATTTTAAATAGATGATAAAATAGATTAGAACAAAATAAAAAAAATAAGGGTGTTACACGATCACAATACAAAAGGATTAGATATGTTCACTACAATACAATATCTAAAATGCTTCACATGTTACAGTCGGATATCATAGGAGTGTTACTAATTCTATTAATTAAATACCCATAGGTTCAGTTGAGTCATGCTCCCTATGCCCAAGGATTTGCAACCATTCACTTGGCACAATTTGAAGATCCTTCACAACCTCGGTCATCCTCTCATCCACACTATTTTTAAGGCAATTAACAGCGATGGTACCAACATTTGCAGTGCATTTTATGTCCTCTTCAGTAGTTATAATCTCCTTATCATACATCTCGTATGCTCTACTCTCTGTCATGTAAGCCTCCATAAAGTTCATGGGGAGGCTATTATTCCCATTGTACCTTGCCTTCTTTCCCGTCATGAGCTCCAAAAGGACAATACCAAAGCTATAAACATCACTTTTCTCTGTGAGAAGGCCAGTTTTCATGTATACAGGGTCTATATAGCTCATATCTCCGACAACAAAAGTGGTGTGGTCTTTTCCAATAGTCATGAGCCTAGATGTCCCAAAGTCAGAAACTTTTGGCACAAAGTTATCATCCAAAAGAATGTTACCAGATTTCACATCTCCATGAAGAATTTTTTGACTAGCATATGAATGCATATAAGCAAGAGCATCTGCAGAGTTAATAGCAATATCCAACCGTGCTAGTAGTGAGAGAGGATGTTTCTTATTATACTCTTTACCATGAAGTACGTCACAGAGACTCCCTCTGGGTATGAATTCATAGACTAACATAGGAACATCTGTCTCCAAGCAACAACCCAAAAGTTTAACTAAATTTTATGACTAATCTGAGACTGGATTGTGATTTCATTTGCAAAGTCCCGCTGCCGGGCCTCACTGACTGTTATGCAGCGTTTGACCGCAACTCGCACATTTCCATTGATGGTTCCCATGTACACCTTACCAAACCCACCCTTTCCAATAATAGTACTGTAATTTTTAGTAATTTGGTCAAGTTTCTCCTTTGTGTAAATATCTATCTTGATACTTTTCAGCAATTGTCCACCATTTCGGTTGAAATAAGCTCTCAGCTTTCTTTTCTTACGCTCCAATAGAATGAACATTAGTAACACGACTAGAAGTGCGATGATAAAAACTGTTGCTGTGGACAAATAGGAAACAAAATAGTTAATATATAGAACATGCAATACTGCAAAGGTAACTTATACATATTCATGCAATTGCGTAGTCCATATATATTGCTCACGTGAAAAGATAATTTAGGCACAACCACATGGTCTATGCTCATGCGAAAAGATAACATTTAGGCACAGCCATGGTCTATCTGGAAATAATTATGTTTTCACACTTCAATGTTGAGCTTCAAGTTGAATGTAGTGCAATGCAAATATGGTGTATACATGGAATGCAGAACTGCATGTAATTAGAGCATTATATATTATATGTGGAATGTATGGCATGCTGCAAATTTCAATCAACATTGCATTCATGTATTGAACCTCACCTATGACTGCTATGGCAGCTCTGGAAAATATGGGTTCACAATTACCCATGTTATCAGAACTATTGTCACGTCTTTGGCCGAAATTGCAGTCACAACGATAGCTACCTTCTGTATTCTTGCATGTGGACCCAGCACCACAAATAGAATTGTTTTCACACTCATTAACATCTGAAAAGTGGAGAAAACAGTAGATGTTAAATATAAAAATAAATAAAGCTATTCTTAGTTTTACTTACACGCTCATGAAGGAGAAAATATAGGTAGTTAAATATCTCTGGCCCTGTGTTAAAACTTGCACAGCCTAAACTTGGGATGCTAAACAGGGGCATATTAATCTATGATAGGTGAAAAATGCTCGTCTCAGATAATTACATCTCTTACGGGTCACAGAGTGGCTCGTCTAAGATGTAGCACCTGTTAAGAATGAGGGGTCATCTATGACTCGTAGTTATGAATCGCCATGACCGCGTTGATATCGTAGTACAAGAAATATGCCATAGAAAATTCCCTGTATGCAGTGCTTCTCGATACGAGAGGAAGGGTTCAAGAGTAGTGAACACGGAAATAAGTCAACGAAAGGGTGGTACTGTAGATGTTCATTGTCAAATGGAGGAACGCAACTCGCAAAATGAGTGTGGGCCAGTTTGATCTAGGCTTGAAAAGCCAGTTAGGATGTCCTCTAATGCAGGGGAGACAAAATACGATGAGCAATTATGGGATTGGAGGGAAAATAGGGATGGAATAAGTGAAGAATGATATAGGTAGGGTAGAAGATAGAGGTTAGATACTAAATCGATTTTGTCGATTAATTGTTGGTTCCTACAATAGGCTTGACATCTATATTTATAGTATGGCTGGTCTTGCGTATCAAGGTTTAATTAGGCTTTAGAGAAAATTAGTACTCCAAAAACCCTAACACCTAAAAAAGGGAACACAAGAAGAGCCAAATTGGATTTGGATTGGATTCTGATGACAAAACCGATCCATGACCTCTACTCATGACAAAGGATTCCGGTCAGATCGACAAGGGTTCTTACTAGCTTTAGCGAGAAGGCTCTCTCGGATCCCTCCCAAGGCTTCGCCTAAATTTTTCCAAATGCTAAATTTGACTGTGAATATATTCATTCATGTACATTGACTTATGAACTCATCTTCTTGGGGGATGTTCTATTACCGTTGGAAATATGGCCTGGCTCTGTATCTCCTTAATGAAGCAAGCTGAGCCTGACCTGGCTCGGTGGCCTAGATGACCGTAGCCTATTGGCTAGCTAGATATATACTCGCTCCATCCAACCAAAAAAACGAATATAGAATTGGATGTGACATATTCTAGTACGTCGAATCTGGACAAAGGTATATCTAGGTTCGTAGAACTAGGATGTGTCACATCCAGTATTAAGTTGGTTTTTTATGGGAAGGAGGGAGTATACATGTGGCCCATTTTATCGCTGGAAACCAAAATTGCATCTATCCTATTTGTCATAGGAACAATCCACTGTTTGTCAACATCGCTATCGCTGCATAATTGAGAGCTTGTTTGGCATAGCTCCAGCTATAGCTCCACCTCCACCACTCCTAGAGCTAGAGCTCAGCCAAACAGTTTCAGTTCCACCTAAAGTGGGAGCAGAGCTGGGTGAAGCGCTCTCACATAATGAACTTTAGAGGTGGAGATGGGTTTAGGCTGCTCCACAACTCCACTCCAGACCCAACTCCTGAAGCTAAATTTAAGAGTTGGAGGCTTGGAGCTCTACCAAATATGCCCTGAATCCTTTCACTCACATCTTCCACCTCGAGCCACCGCTACACGAATCTCCAATTAATGTAGTCTTCCTCGTCGCCAACTTTAATTTTTACCTTTACTTGTTTGCTGAGTCAGTGCCACATCACACATCCATCACATTAACTCCAGATTCAATTACACTATCCTATTATATTAACGCAAAGGGATACTGCTCTGGAAAAAAAACAATCCTGAGGATGTATATGGATAACGTGAATGTTCAAAAACATTTATAGGATTGGATTTTTTTTTTGGACGGAGGGAGTACGCTGTAAGCAAAATTCTCGTGTTCACATGCATGGATTTGGGTGCGTATAGCGGCGAGTAAATAACTGCTGAGGATACCCTCTTTAGTCCTGGTTTGCAACCCTTTAGTTTCGGGTTGCTTCTTTTTATTGTTTTTTGCTACTTGCATATTGATTTTTCCAAAGCGAGTTGCTCCATATATAAATCCCCAAATCCCCACATCAATTTAACATCACAGATCGAATGAACATACTATGTTTCACATCACGATTTCACAGTTAATATCACAAATAGAATTCATACTCGAATGGACATCACAAAATTCTCAAAAAAAAAAAAGAATGAGCATCATTGCGCCCGCCTGCCGCTCGCCTCCTCCCCCTCGTGCACCGCCGCATGCCCCTCATGCGCCGCCTGCCGCCTCCCCTCCCGCTGGATCCGGGGGAGGGGACACCGGATCCGACAGAAGGGAGGGCTCTGCCGTTGCCGCCCGATGCTCCCGGAGAGGAGGAGGATAGACGGAGGAAGAGGATGAGGAAAGGGAGGAGGAGGAGTTCGAACAGGCGGAGGGAGCCACCGCCGCCACCTCCGAGCCATCGGGCCGCCACCAGGGCGCCGCCGCCACCTCCGAGCTGCTGAGCCGCCGCCATCTCCTCCGCTCCCACCGCTCTCATCGGGTGGTGCGGTGGAGGGAGAGGGAGCGAGACAGAGAGCTGAGAGAGGGAGAGAGAGAGAGAGAGAGAGGGAGAGGGGAGGATTCGAAGAGATTGAGAGACGAGAGCAACGAAGTGCACCGCGCGTTGCTAAGTACGAGTAGATTATATACGCACGCGTCGATCTATAATCCCGGTTGGTAACCCAACCAGGACTAAAGATAGTGAGGGGCCTAACACTTTCTCAACGGGGGCTAAAAATGATCTTACCAACCGAGACTAAAGATCAAAAAGTACTGTTGGGCTTTTGAACCGGGATTCCTATTTGAACCGGGACTAATGTGATTTTTGCCTTCCGGCCAATTATCCAAATCCAGTAGTGAATCTGGGTTTGGTTTTCTACAAACTGGTTGCGCGCGGCTTCAAAGAGCTAATTGTGCTAATGATTATATACAATATTATATGTCTCCTTGTGGACAGAAAGAGAGAGTGCTGGTGCTTGGTGGGTATAAAAGCAAGCCGAAGCACGTCAGTGAGAGTTGGTCTTTCTACAATCAGCAAGAATTAGTCTAACAAGCTTGAGAGCTCCGATCCTTGTACAAACTTTTCCACTGACAGCTGTGATCTAGATAGGTGTAAGGTTATTATCCTACAGGGGATATGTACGTACTTACCTATGGGATGTGGGTGTTTATAGATTTCCGACAATATCGACTAATAACATAAGCATGGAATATTTTCTGTCAATTCGATGTAAAAAAAATCATGTTTCGAAATGCGAAGTCTTTTATTTGGAAGCTAAGGCTTCCACTTAAGATTAAAATTTTCTTGTGGTACTTTAGAAAGGAGTCACCTTAACTAAGGACAATCTTGCTAAAAGAAGGTGGAAAGGTAGCCTTAGATGTTGCTTTTGTAATTCTAACGAGACAATACAACACCTTTTTTTTATTGTCCATTGGTTAGGTACGTGTGCAACGTGGTTTATTTCACGTTTGGCATCAGCCTCCACACAGTGTCACATTTACTTGGTATTTGGCTAACCAGTGTTAATCCTAGGCTTAAAAATCAAGTGTTTGTGGGCATTTCAGCATTGTGCTGGGTGGTGTGATTGAGTAGGAATGATGTGGTTTTTAATGGATCATACCCGTACTCTTTTATGTAGGTAATTTTCAGGGGAATGCATTAATTGGGTGAGACTTTGGTCTTTGCTGCTTAAGGAAGAGGATGGCAACGTGGTTAAAGAATGCTGCAAGGCTTTAGAGATGAGAGTTTTGGAGTTTTTGTCTAGGTGTGGCTGGAATTTCAGAAAGAGAGTTGAAGTTTAGACCGGTTCTTTGAGTTTGGTCGTTGAGGTTGTTGGTCTAGTCATTTCGTTTTGTTTGTTGAACTTGTAATTCTGTCTTCTTTTCGTGTCTTCTAAACTTTTTTTTGTCCCATGTAATGGCTGGAGTCTAAGTACTCATGTATGGACATGTTGGGCTGTGTACATCCTTTTGGATGTAGAGGTCGGGTTTTTAATCCATTATCTAAAAAAAACATAAGCATGCGGATGGAGAGTAGAGCGCTGGGATACAAACCTTTGCATCCATCTGGTATGTACGGATTGCCAATGTATCCCTCGGAGCAGTTGCAAAAATAGCCATCCAAACCACTGGTGACATTGGCGCATTTGCTGTGGTTGCTATGACATGCGCCGAAGGGACTATCATAATTTGTCTCTGGTCGGCATGCAGGTCCATCCTTGATATCCCAGTGAAGAACGAAAGGAACACTGATGTTGTCTATGTCCCAGTGAGTAAGATGATCTTGTTTGAACGTATACCTGCGTAAAAGTATTACAATCAATGTGAGATATCACAAATATATGATGGAATAACTCGCCAATGAATAAAAAATACTACTCGATTTGTTCAGCTAGGTTACAAGTTGAGAATTTACTGATATCAAAACCCCAGAGATACTCAGATACATGAAGACCAGATTTCCAACAAACAACTAGACTAGATGAAACGGATGTACACAAAAGCTCCGTGTTAAGAAATCTCACCAACATGCCTTAAAAAATTGTACATGTACTTATAATAGAACAACATATCCAAGTGTAACGTCTCCACTTTAGATTCAGCGAACACAGAGACATAGAAGACAAAACTCTGAGAAAATTATCAGATTTTTCATGTTATACTGTTGAGACTTTACATATTAACATATAGGTGCAATAGTATTATATGTACATGTATCAATTATTCTGTAATTTCTTGTATATATGTTAGTTGGTGTGCACGGCGAGTAACCTTATGTGCATAGAAATGTATCGATCTCTTTTCCCCTGGATGAAAACCCCATGTGGTACTGCATGAAATTTGGAGCACAAAAACAAAATGAGTCATTAGGAGAATTTCACTATTAGAGAAACTCTCTTCGGCACTTTGGAAGTAGCACTGGTAGCCTTACTACTTCAAAACCCTAGCATCCTAATCAGCCAATCAGCGACGGAGACCTGCAGCCCGTACAGTGGCAATCATCTGTGATGGGCTGTGTGATCAAACCTATGACCGATGACAACCATCTATATATGGTGGGCTGTTGGTAACATTTGCGTTACTAATTCTATTATTTTTATCAAATTGTATATAAATTCACAGGTCGTGTGATAGCTCTCTTTTCAAGATGCATGTCCAGTTCCCTAAATTCTTCAGGCTTGCAACTTAAAGTTTTGTTGAAGAAATATGTGAGGCATCCAATTATTGAGACTTGTAAATAATCGAGGTTTGGAATTTATGTGATTGTGAAATGTATGGGGATTCTAGGAATGTATATCTCTATTTCTGTCATTTTGTTAGCAGTTACATTTTTAAGGTAAAACCTCTTTGGTGCCGGATTACAACATATATAACCCCGTCACGGTTGAGCAGCATTATAGATGGCCAAGGGTGTGTTTGGTTCACGGTCATGCATGGATGGGATATGGCCATCCATATTTTGTTGGATATGGCGATTCAATTTTTTGTTTGGTTTATATGGATATGTTGATCCAATTTCTTGTTTGGTTAGGGGATATAGCATGAATGGGAGAAACCATAAGATAGTGGGACCCATTTGTCATATATATATATTTTTATCATAATATAATCATCCGAGATCTTGTTTTAAAGATTTAATTGTAACAAATATAATGGTGTAATCAAACCATAAATTAGATAAACAGTTTAGGAGAAAAAAAATCATTTAGAGCTTGCTTAACAGAAAATCAAACCAACCATAGCCAATCAGAATAGGTCACATCACCCGGACCAAAACTAGATGGCTTCATCCAACCAAATCGGCCAGATGCACTTATCCAACCTATTGAGGGAAGATTCCCTATTCTGGGCCGCCCCATCCACCCTGCCCTCCAACCAAACACCAAAAAAAATCGGGCGGCCATGCATCTCCCATCCAGGCTCATCCACCCAACCAAACACACCCCAAAAGGATCACCCGCCCTAGCATGGCCCGAGCATGACCGGGCTCGGGCCGATATCAGTCGGGCCGACACGGCCCGACCTACACGCCGGATCGTGCTGTGCCCATCCACTTGCTGCGCGTTTGGCCCAAGCACGACCCAATAAGACTCGGGTCATGCCGGACCAACTCGAAGCCACGAAGCCTACCGTGTTCCTCCTTTGAAAAGTTCATTTTGTCTCCCTCATCTCTTTCGCCGTGCCTTATATGGTTGGATTAAGTCTATTTTGGCTCCCTCATCTATTAAATCCCTGATAGTTGGACCTGGCCATGCCGGGTCGGGCCATCGTGCCAAAGTAGAGGTCGTGCCGTGCTTGGGCCGGACCAAAACCCCGTGCCATGGCCGGGCCGGGCTATCAGGCCTCGGGCTTTTGGCCAACTATAAGCAACATTGTTATTGAGTTGCAAGAGGACTATATCACCAATTAGTCATCCGTGCTAGGCTCTAAAGTACCCCGTCAAAAGGGACCGAGTCACCTTTTACGGGTTGGAGTTGGAGCCCGTCACAGATGAGTTTATAGGCAAATATAGTAATATTTATAATACTAAATTAGTTTTACCCAATCAATTATTGAATATATTTTCATAATAAATTTGTCTTGGGTTAAAAATGCTAATATTTTTTTCTACAAACTTGATCAAACTTAAAGTAGTTTGACTTTGACCAAAGTCAAAACGTCTTATAACCTGAAACGGAGTAAGTAGTATTGAACAATTAATTAACTGTTGACTTATACCACAACTGGAGAACTGACCTTTGCTGGGTCAGTCAAAAACTAGATTAATAAAAAAGCATTTTTAGTCCCGCTTAAAAATTCCATCGGAACTATGTGATCTATAGTCCCGATTGGAACTTTAGTCCCGGTTCATCCCTGATAAGGCCTGTCAGTGGCCTGTCAGGGGGCTGAGGATCTTATAACCTGGACTAAAGATCTAAATAATCTTTACTACCAATCGGGACTAAAATTTAACATGTAGTATATATAATCCCTCGCACTTATCCTCTCCTCCACTATCGCAAACACTTGCTCCTTATCTTTTTAATTTCCTCCTACCATTCCACCTCTTTCCCCCTCTCCCTTATCCTCTTCTTCACTTGCTCTCATCTTCTCCTCTCAAATATTGCAGCAGCTAGGAGCGAGCGTGGCGGGGGGGGGGGGGGGGAGGGGCGTAGGCGGTGGCCCGCATGAGGGCAGCGGCGGCTCAACGCGGTGGTGGGCTGCTGGCGCGGCGCGGGGCGAAGGCGCTGGCCCGCAGCGGCTGTCTGCGGCGGCAGTAGCCTGGCGCGGCGCGGGGGCGGAGGAGGCGGCCTACGTGGGGGCAGCGGCGGCCCGGCGCGGGGCGGAGCCGACGGCCCGCTCGGGGGCAGCGGCAGCCGTGTGTGGCGGCGGCCTGATGCGGCGCGGGGGCGGAGGCGGCGACCCGCGTGGGGATAATTTTTAGATGTGATATGTTTTTTTTGGATGATTTTGTGATTTCAATTTTTGGATGAATTTGTGATGTTGGATCTGGGATTTGTGATATGTGAATGTTGGATTTGTGAATATTAGAAAAAAAACTCGATCTGTGATTTTTGGTATGTGAATGTTGGCAAAAAACGACGAAAAAAATATGCAAGCAGCTAAAAACAATAGAAAAAAAAGAAAAAAATAAACTCTAGATGGCTACACCAACCGGGACTAAAGAAGATATATCTTTAGTCCCGGTTATTTCACCCGATTCGTAGTTCCGGTTGCATACCCGGGATTAAAGAGGGATGTGAACCGGGAGTATATATGCATTCTCCAGCAGTGTACACTATACATGCAATTCTTCTAAGTCCTTTCCAAAAAACGTAATGTATTTTGATGCTATAGATGACTTGAAATGAACAGTCTTTGAACTACATTACTGTTGAAACAATTTTAAAAATTCATACGTGTGCCAATTCTTTTAGTATTATATATATGGGTGCTATATATATTCCTTGTGCTGAAATTTTCTTTACTAGAGATATATATATGGGAAACACCAATTAAAACCCATAATATATGGTGGGTAGCTAGGCAACGTCAAGTTATTAATTAGAAATGGGAAAACATCTAAAAACTTGCAAAGATATAGTATAACAAAGAATCATCATCAGGTCCGGAATTAGCTAGTTACCAGTCCTGGGCCACAAAGGCATACTGGTAGTACTGTTCGGGGTCCAACTCGCCGTAGTCGTCGTCGGATGCACCTGGCCATCGCCCCCATCCTACGGCGAACTGGGTGAGGCCTGGCGTGATGGGCGACTCGCAGCAGCCGAGGTCCTTGCACGGCGCCCCATCCGCCGCGGCGTCGCTCAGGCTCGGGCAGTAGGTGATGCAGCCCGCGTCGTACGCATACGCCCTCTCCCCTATCATTTGCCCTCCTGCTGCTGCTGCTGTCGTCGTCGTCGCCCCCGTGCTGCTGCTGCTGCTGCTGTTCTCTACGCTGCCGTACAACTTCGCCATGGTGACGCACCCCACGGCCGTGAACATGTTGCCCGTCGGGGAAAGCCGGTACGGTGCGCTCAAGGTGTATCCGCTTGGTAAGAATGTCATGTTTACTTGTTGGGTGACAGGCATTCCTACAGTTACTTTTACTTGCATAGAATGTTCTTCTTCTTGTTGAGTAGTAGTGATAAATTTGCTCGTGATGGCACTTCTTGCTCTTACTGATGGGTACTTGACCACGGCGAGGGCGCCAGCCGAGACGACGAACATTTCCGCTGTCTCCAGCGTTATGTTCAGGACCAAGAGGGCATCGGCGGTGTAGGGTTGGGGAGGGTCCGTCTTGTGGTTGCAGGTGATGCTGAAGCTGCCGGAGCCCGGCAGGTCGAGGTAGCAGCCTCTGCCGATGCCGAACGGGTAGGGGATGGATACGTTGCCGCACTTGTCTGGGCAATTCGACGCCGGCACCGGGAATATTAGTGGTGGTGGTGATGGTGATGGTGATGGTGGACTCGCGCAGGAGGAGCTGCGATATCCCAGCCATGGATGATGGATGCATGTATGGCCAGCTTAAACTACCAGCTTATATTACTTAGTTGTGTAGCACAATGTATATATGTCACCATGACACCAAGACAAGGAGGATGAGCTGTGTGAGTTGTTTCATTCAGAATACATTGGAATTCAATGCTTGCTGGTGAGCCCATGGGCATCTCAATGATAAATATGCTCCTTTCAACTTGGACACGAATAGGATGCTAGGTCACGTGGAAAACCATAACTAATGCTTGATGTGTAATAATTCTTTCCGAAGAAATACACATAGATGTATAAGAACGTATCCTATACATATAAGCCTTCCTGTGTACACACCATACACATCAAAGAACAAATATCACCAAACAATATACTCCCTCCATATTTTAATGTATGACGCCGTTGACTTTTCGACCAACGTTTGACCATTCGTTTTATTCAAAATTTTTCTGCAAATATCAAAATATTTATGTCATGCTTAAAGAACATTCGATGACGAATCAAGTCACCACAAAATAATTGATAGTTACATATTTTTTTTAATAAGATGAATGGTCAAACGTTGGACAAAAAGTCAACGGCGTCGTGCATTAAAATATAGAGGGAGTAGTAAACATTCACATGTACTTTCAATAGTATCACATTTGTAAAGTTTCATCCTCAAATTCATTATGTATAAAAGACAAAATTCTAATAGATTTATAGTCTCAAAACTATCAGTTTTTTTTTTGTTACGGCTAAAATTTTACAAGTAGGTGTGATCCTTTTCAAAATGTCTACACAATGTTTTTTTAGATTTTTTTGTGACATTAGTTAATTAGTGTGTATGGAGTGTGCACGTAAAAGTTATATACCCAGGATATGTTCCCTAGATATATCAGTTGCTTTATTCAACAGTATTGGAATTTTTTTTTAGGGAACAAGAGTATTGGAATTGAATGCTTGCTGGTAAACTAGTGGGCATCTCAACTATAAATATTATTCTTTATATCTTGCACAAGAACCGGATATTGCGATCGAGCAAGTTTTATGGTAGAGGTGCATACTACCTCTAATTTTTCTCGTAAAGACATAACAAATTTTACACTATAAAATATGGTATCTTTCGTACCTCCTCATGGACCGTAAAATTACGCACATAAGTACTCACTCTTGCATAAGTAATAATATAGAAGAACAGTACTATGAGGAAACCCTAGAAGGTGAATAACATATATTTCAATGGTACTGACTTTTATACATCTTGTCCACCCTTGACCTTATCCTATGGTGTTTATTTGGTTTTTTATTTGGATCTTGAATTGAGAAAGTTTTAGTAGAGTTTTGGCCCTTCGGCATGGAAAGTTGAGTACATCAATTTAAATTTATTATGTATGTCCATATGTGCGTGATCATAATATTGGATGATCATATGTGGATTTTGGGACTTCAGATTGGCTTTTGAGGGCAATGCAAGGAACAAGGTAGAGGGCAACTTCATCGAGCTCAATCGCCCACTTGGTTGCCCATCCAATGGCTTCCAGGTTGTGCATAATCCCTTTTAGCGTGTCTGGGCACCTTGGAGCACCTGTTGGCGAAGTAGACGGTCACTTCTCCTTTGTCATGCTCAACCATGAGCATCGTGCTGACGATCAGTTGGATAGCAGTGACATACGGCAAGAAGGACTCCATGGGTCTAGGCACAGTCAAAACCAGGGACATGGAGAGGTACATTTTTGAATCTGGAGGGCGGCCTCAGTCTCTTGGGTCCACTTGAATATAGGTAGTTCCTTCTCTCCTATCGAGGAGATGAAACACCCTTCCGCCACAACCATGCAACTAGCCAAATGTTGCACCCCCTTTAGCCGTGCAGGTGGTTGCTGTTGGAGGTAGGTCAGCCAAAGCAAGTAACAGCAATGCCATGCGAATCGTGAAAAAATAATTAAGGTGAAGCTGAATGAAGCACGATGAAGCTTGGCGAAGCACGGTGAAGGGCTAAGCCAAGCGAACCATGGCGAAGTGCATTGAAACAAGGCAAAGGCACTAATTCTAGAGGCTGCGTAGCCGTGGTCCAAATCTAGCCCAGTCGGCTATCCTGCTAGAACCCCAAATGCACATTTTTCTGGATATGTTTCCTCCTGGTCATTGATCATTGTGGGCTGGTTCTCCCTGGTCTTGATGACTAGGTCATCCACATGCACTACCGCAATGTACCCTAGCTGCGGATGCAAGGTATACTGACACCACGTGCTACGTACATGGAGCCGGCATTTTTTTTCATAGCAGTACCTTCCTGGAGGGGTTACAAATGAAGGGTTTAGTGGCTGACATGTGGTGGCTTCCTGCCGTGGAGGGCAGCAAGCATGATGATGTTTCTACAATAATTTACTTGTACTTACTTTAAAGGTTTAAAAATATACCACAGCAAAATTTGCTTTACGCTGAAAATTGTGACCACAAATGGCCCTCCTAATCTCAGCTTGCATGTATTTAGGTCTTGCATTTCCATTTTTTTTTACTAACTCTTGCTTTGTATTAATGGTAGTTGCATTTAGAATTTGATGTAGGTGATGAATACTTTAATGTGCAGAGTGACACCAATTTTCATGATGATTATAACTAGTCAGTTGCATGTACGAGGGTTGGACAGGCTATTGACGCGAAAAACACGAAGGCATGGGAGATCTGCTTAACTTTAGTGCAGGTCCTAAATCTTGATAAGATGTGGGCATGTCAATCAATTTGATCTTGCACTGACAAGATAGATAAATATGTTGACGATCAAAAAGCCGATGGGCTAACAAGCCGATGTCGATAGGGTTTTCAACAATCGGTTTGAACAAACAATCCAATCGGTCGGTGATAATATGATGAAATATAAGTCCAATGAAGCAACCGGTCAATATTGATACAAAATAATAAATGTAGGCTCAGTGGTTAAAACATACATTGGCTGGAAGTCCGATGCAAAGATAACATATCGGCTAGCGCTCTGATAAAACACTGGCATGAAACCTATCGGCTTAACAAGACTTAGATTATCAATGACAATTTAGCAGCTCGAACCTAACTGATGCAGCATGGGATTTGTATATAATAATCTAATATTCAATGAGCCAATGAAATCTATTTAATGTGATGGATATAACAAATTTATCTAAAACAATATTGTGATTGTAGAGATATCTCAACTAAGGCCATGTTTGTTTCAGCTTAAGATTATTGTAATCTACATTATTAAATCGGATTACTCTAAGCTGGATTATAGTAAGCTAATATAAAATAAGCTACGAGTTGATTGTTTCTCTGGATTATTAGAGGCATCTAAGGGTAGTGGGTCTTTAGCCACTCAATAATCTGGAAAAAGCTCCTCTAGAGGAGATTATTGGATTATAGTAATCTGGCTTATAGATTATAATAATCTAGCATAATAATCTACTTGTTTGTTTCAGCTTACTCCTAATAATCCAGATTATAATAATTCTAAGCTGAATCAAACAGGGCCTAAATCAGAATAACAGATCTAACTGAGACAGTCCTAAGTAAACCGATTCATCTCTAAACATAGTGCAATTAGAGATACAATTGAAATATCATGTAGGCAAAATATACCGATACAATTGCCAGGGCCAGCAAAACTTAGGACTTACCCCTTCGCTGGAGATCGAAGCCGATGTAGCCCCGATTCAGGTGATTCAGGTGCCAAATTCTGTCGGTAGTAAAAACATTGTAAAAGAGGGTGATAGTGCTGTTAACAGTGAAATTTGGTAAGCCCCGAAGATATCATCGGCCTAGAGTCAGTATTGGCTTCAGAATCCTAGAATTAGCTGATGAGAATTATCATGCCGCTAATAGTTGAATTCCTGCTTTATTCGGTTAAGGAAATTACTCTATTAAAGGAAGCTTATCCAGAAGTGACCGAGTTCAAGGAGGATGTGGCATGGCAAGTTATGTATTAATGAGGAATAGTTCGTTAGTTTCCTTTTATCTTTAGGAAAGTGTGTTTAGTGTCCTGTAAGGACTAGTATCTCCCCATGGGTATAAATATGTACATCTGAGGTCATTGTAAACCATCTCACGATCAATACAAATCGGTGCATCGCCACCTTTTACCTTTTCTACTTTTTATTTATCACGGCGAACTTGGCAACTGACGCGGGGCTGCATGGGTCTTCGATCTCCGGCGAAGGGGTAAGTCCAATGTTCTGCTGGCCCAGGCAATTGTACTGGCTACAATAGTGTCGTTCAAGGCTGCATCAGTACATTCGACCTCTAGGATTGCTCTGGTTTGGTTGATATATTTGCTTGCCTATTTATCATATGTCTTTGTTAATCTAGTCTTAGAATCTCAATTTAGCTCTATCGGTTGTCTCTCGCTTTAGGGTTTCTGCTGATATCGACTAAATTGTTTTACTGGATTAGATTAGCTAAGGCATCTACCACCCTAAAAATCAGTCAAGGGCTTGATCTACTAAGTTGTCTAGATATTATGTTTCTTTTCATACTTAGTGTTGCATCAATTAGGTTTGATCTACTAAGTCGAGCTTAGAACCATAATCTCTAGCCTGCTAATTGATTGCCAATAAGGGTTTCATCGGGGTTTCAGCCGATGAGTTATCTAGACGTTGCATCAGCTTATAAGGATTACATACAAGTTGGATTTAGCCGATCGCAACAAAGATTTCACTGTTTAATCTAATCTTGTGGATTTTATGACATTGGGACTCCAGCTGATGTATTCTTTAACATTCGGATCAGTGCTTATTCTATCATATCATTGTTAGCTAATTGACTTCTACTAGATTATATTATTACTATATTATCATCAGCTGATCGCCTTTATACGTCGAGTGTTAGATTCTACGTTGGATATTTAGCCGATTGCTCAAAACCCTATTGCTATCGGCTGGCATCAGCATCGGATGAAATTACTCCTTCGACTTATTAGCCGATTGGCTCATTGATCTGCAATTTTATACCTTGTCAGTTGCAGGATCAAACTAACTGGCACGCCCGCATCTCACCAAGATTTAGACCTGCATTGGAGCTAAGCAGTTCTCCCAGGTCGTTGTGTTCATTGACTTAGTTTGCGCCAACACAGACCTGGCACTATTGGCCGAGCGCGGATTTTTCATCAACAGATGCATCGGAAGTAAATGTATTGATATGTGGAGATAGATTACAATGACCTTGGTTGACATATTTATACTCACGGGTTGATACTAGTCCTGATTGGACATGGTACAAGTTTCCTAACGATAAAAGGAAAACTACAAGTCATGTTCAGACACTAGATAAATACTTCCTAAAGATAAAAGGAAAGTTACTAAATCTTGCCTAATTAATAGATAGAATTAGACTGCCATGACGTGGTCTTCACGATTCCTCCTTGAACTCGGTCTCTTATTGATAAACTTTCATTGGTTGATCGACCTCTTTCCAAAACTGAATCCACTAAAGAACATTAACAAATTTTGCCGTTAATACGGGCATACCATGATCCATGTTTTGTTTTTCTCCTGCAACTCTAACGATGTTAGTACCCTTGACTATGTTTAGAATATTATCCATATTACTTTATGTCATTAATTGAGATGAAGGTGCATAGGTAACAACCGTCCTATGGGTTAGATGTGCATGAGTATACGCTTGAAATATATAATTGAGATTTTTGCAAGATAGTATGAGAAGGGTCTCTTGGTGTACGAGCGTTGGGTCATCGCTAACAAGCGGATGATCAAACGGTACATGCCTTGGTAGTGGACTGGCGTGTGCTATTTGTTATTAAACATCTCCTTTCTTCCTAGTTCGACATTGTAATTACTATACAAAAAATAGGTCTAATTTCATCATATACATGATGAGGATGGGTGGCTACATTGCGCGTATGGATTGCACTTATCTAATACTACCTCTGTACAGGTTGTTTAGCAAAATTTAAGGTTTACGAAGAATAAACATAATGCCCTTTATTCAATAATGTACGGATGGAAGTGAGAAGGTAGTTGGGGGTAGGATGGAGAAAATTTTGAATTGGAAATTGTTGTCGGGAAGACAACCATGCCACGTCGAAAGGCGTGGCACTCTTAGAGGATTGGATGTGTAGTAAAGACAATATATTAATTGGTAAAAACTTTTGGGATCCCTCATTACATGGTCCTAGATGGCTATTTATAGTCTCAGTACAGGCTCAAATCCTCTAGGGTTTAATATATATACAGAGGAATTTATATGGATACCTTTATGATAGGGGCATTAGTAAGGGCATATAGTGTCTACCCTAGCTATGGGCCCCTATATGGGCTTCTTGGGCCAGCCCGCTAATGGTGAATAGCCTTCCTGGATCGTTCCGTCCTTTGGGCTTCCTGGCGAAGATGATTCCTCTTCGGGCGAATCTTTCCTGCTTCGCCCCATGGCTTCACCCAAAGTGAAGATCCAACGATGAGTCCCATAGGCTCGGTGGTGAACCCTCTAGACGCTGTCCTTCGACTTCGCCTAGGTGTTTCGCCCGAGTGCTAACCCATTGGGCTTCAACTGGCGCCTCGCGGGTGTGGGGTTCTTTGTGGTTTCGGCAGGTTCGGTCGAAAGCCCTTGTGACATGCCTCCAAATGATTGATGTTACAAAAGGTGCTCTAAAGTGACAAGTATTTTGTAACAAAATTTAAACCCTAAAGCGACAGACAGAGGGAGTAGCTTGTGGTGACTCGGGTTAGAGCATCCCCAGCACCTCCTGTATCACATGCTCCATCCTGAAAATAGCGCATGAGGAGAGAAAAGGGGGCTCCAACAGATACGCCATAGGGGGCTCCAAATTTGGCGTTTCTCTCTCCTCATGCCATCCAGCAACTGCCCGTCTCTGGATAAACTCACGCCACCATCCGGATCGCGTCGCTCCATGGGTGCCGTGCAAGGGTAGAGGTGAAGGCATGGAGGTAGAGAGGAGAGACCTACTGGATCTGGCGGTGGAGGTTCGGAGTAGAGGCAGAGGCCCGCCCGCCGCCGCCTGTCGTTCCTCCGCCGCGACACCGCGGCCCGTGCCCGTGACCCCGCCGCCCGCGCCTCGTCTGTCCACCCGCCACCGCCCTCTGCCCGGCGACCCCGCCGCCCACGCCTCGCCCGTCCGCCCACCGCTACCTGCACCTCGCCCATCTGCCCGCCGCCGCTTGCCTCCATCTGCTCCCCTTGCCTGCCGCCGCCTGCCTCCATCCGCTCCCCTTGCCCACCGCCGCCTACCTCCATCCGCCGCCCCTCCCCCACCCCTCACCAGCTCGCCCGCGCGCCCGCCCGCCCTTCCTCGCCCACGTCCGCTGCCGCCCCTCAGTCGCCCCCCCCCCCTCCTCGCTCGCCCCTCGCCCTCTTCTCTGTGAGAAAAGAGTAGTAGTACTCCTGTAAAGAAGAAGAGAAGAGTAGAAAAACTGAGGAGAGAAAAGACAGTAGTAGTATGTTTATTTTATTTGTGTTGGTATGATATTTCTTGCTATCATTCACCCAAATCAAATATATCAATTAAAAAATTACCCGTTAAAATTTACTCATTTCAAAATTTTATCGTGATAAATAATACCGTTAAAATTTAGTTGTTCAAAATATATCCCTTAAAAATACAAGTGTAAGGTTAGTTGGGAGATATTAGTAACATATAGGAGGATGTGATATAGATGATGTAATATGGATGATCTGTTAGAGTGGGAAGAGATATGAATGAGGAATATTTTTTGGATGGCCATCCATATGGGTATATGGAGGATGATATTTGGATGAGCGCTGGGGATGCTCTTAGAGAGGTCAACATTATAATATTTGCGGTGCATGGTTGATAATCAACCATAGTTGATAGTTCCATTGAATTTCAACATACCCACTATACCAATTAATGAAACCAACGTATATATCGAACATCGATAAATTTGAGCACGAAGGTTCCGGAGATGTTTACAACTTGCAACACAGAGATGCTGATCCATGGCAACTCCCTCCATGCAATTTACTTGAATGATTCAGCTGAGTTATATGCATACAGAACACGGCCAGACTTCTTCTTGCTTGCTGCTCCTCCAACGCCCGCGAGGCATGGACAGCTGGTGATATGGTACAAGAAAAAAGAAAAGGAAATCACCAACTAGAGATGAAAGACAGTTTAGTCAGATGTGAATTTGGGTGATCAGGAAGCTTAATTATCTATACCTATACTAATTGGGCACTTTCTACGAGGTCTCACGTTAACCAGAAAGATCTAGCCGTTGTTTAGATATATCGTACCATTGTAACCGTTGATCTAAAATCCAATCTCTACACTTAATGTTATGGCCCACGTTAAAGCCCTTCCACCTTGCGGTACATGTAACGCACTGTATCATATCTCTCCGTAGTAGCCTACCCCATCGATCCCATCTCCAATAGCCAGTCAATTATACGAGCGGAACGTAGATGGGAACGACGAGAGCGTAAACCAGGCAGATGCATTCGCCGGCTGGCCATCAACGTTAATCCGATCAAACCCAGAATACTGACAACTTCGTTCCACGCGAGGAGATGGACATCGCCCTTCAATCTTTCTGCTTCAAAATTAGGTAAAAAGTAATGCTAATTTTATTTCCCTAACCGTCTTTATCTGTGTTTAACAAGAAGCGCATGCGTGTATATATGCAGCGCTGCTGCAGGAGCAGGCAGATCCTCAATAAGGAGAGAGAACAATTATGAAGAGAAAGCACAACAGGAGAGGGGATTATATAACTGCTTGCACTGTTTGATTTTATTTTCTGCCGTTACTAATTCATAATACGGATTGCTTGGTTCAAGTGGCCACACGGTATATTTGCGTACACAAATTTGACCGATAACATGATCTTGCTTCTTGCAGCCAAAATAACAGTGATGGAAATAGAAAAGCTGCTCTTTGAACATCATGTGCCGGTAATTACAAATATATCATTATTTTTCGTACGTATATATTAAATAGATCTGCAGAGGTAACCAATCAGCAAGACAATGGCATCTGCATCAGATTCAACTGAAAGCTAATTACTTTGCTACTTGCAAATTACTTTCCAGTAAACAATGGTACATGCAAATGTTTATCTTTGAGTTACATATTATTGTTTTTAGCCAAGCTAATTACTTTGCTATGTTTCTTAGAGCAAAAGTTTAATGACTATAATTGTTATAGCTATCTTTATCATGCATATCATGCAGATTCATTTAAGGTTAGTTCTTTTTTTTCCCACACCTTTTACGATGTACTGCTCCTTTTGTATCATTCCAAAAGATTGGCTACGCTTCAACCATTTTGCTTGGTTATTTCATTACTAATTTTATTTGCCAGACAAGATGCAATTTAATCGTTGGACCGACATATATATATGGTTCACGTTCAATTTTCAAGATATTATTAAATTTAACTAATCTATGTTATGGGGCAATTTTTAACTATGAGGATCTTATATCCATTGTGTCATCCACAGGTAATTACGATTTTACTTTTCATCAATCTTTGCCCGCAGATTACTCAGAGACAAAGCCAATAACCTACTCTTCACAACGCTGGAGTACGGCATGATGGAGGCCACATCGACCTCCTTCGTCTTGCACATGAAGATCAGCAGCGTGCCGGCGTGTGCATACACTGCTTAACTGACGACGTCAATTGGATACACACAACCTCAGACTCTGTAGGTTCAGACTATTTTCTCCATCCAGATTTTGAGTTGATCTTTTTTTTTCATCTTGGTTGTTTTATTTACATGTTTCTCATCTGAAATGAGATCAGAACTCAACCACACCATCATAACGTCTGATACTATAAAATTTAGGTATTGATCCACAAAATAGAACAACTTTGTTGCACATATGATGCAAATATAAAAACAACTTCATTGCAGTTTCAATTAGATTTCATTATTTACAAACATGCATATATTAATAAATATCAATTCTCGATTTAAGATTTTGCATGAATTATAAATAACTTAGTATTTTAACTCTCGGTTGTATTAATTAGTTTTTGTTAATCTATTCATTGTAAGTATAATTTCAAGTAAAACACAACAGATTATGTTTCAATTGAAATATTCTTGAGCAATAGAATATTACATAAATATCATCCACTCCTTAGTTTCAGTTTTTTTCCTAAAAATTCCAAAATTTGAATTAATAAATATCATACACTCTTTAGTTTCAGTTTTTTCTTAAAAAATGCTAATTCCAAAATTTGAATGGATAAATATGAAGTTGACTCCTGTTTTATAATATTTTATTAGTTTAATTCAGAAGTTTAAAATTAATAATTTGTATGCAGTCCTTGATGTGGACCCTTTTGGGTTTAAATAGATATAATTAGAAAAGTAACATTTAGCATATTAACTTTTTAATATTTATAATAATTATATAATAGCACATGTGATGCACAGGTTGGCGACCAACATAATCATGTTAACTATGGGTCACATTAGTTATGACTCACTAATATAGTTTTTTTCTAAATTTTGACAACTATTACATTAACAAAAAAAATACGTACAAAATAGATATTTAGACAAGTACATCATGATACTTATTATTTTCAAAATTTGAAATTATAGATTATATACCCAAAGAACAGTTGATGCCCCAGTACTTTTGCATTGATTAATTCTACAGTTTGAATTTACTTAATCAAAAAAAATCTAAAATTACGACACCAGTAAACCTTTGTATTACTAATTTAAATAGATAATCAAAAGGGTGACTTCTTTAGCAATTCAATAATTACAAAAATCTTGCACTGCAAGCATTGCCTGCCACACACGAAGTTCAACGTGGGCTAAGATTTTATTGTTCTAATAAAAAAATTTAATTATTCTCAATAAGATAATTAAATTACTTGATATTTTTATTATTATCTATCTATCTATTAAAGAGTTGTGTGGGAAAATCAAAAATCCAAATAAGGTAAAGTTGTAGGGGCAATCCTGCTAATTGCCTTTTAGAAATATTTTGAAAAATAAATAATCAACGTTTCGGCATCTGATTAAAACTTCCATACTTATTTATATTATATAGATAGAGCACGTGCAACGCACGGGTTGACGGCTAGTATTGTTAGTGTGTGGTACGGTAGTGCTACTTGAAGTACCATTTGGCCAGAAAGCTTAAGTTGTCTAGTGAAACACTTTAGTGGTTGTCACAGGGTCCTGAATGGAGTGCCACCACCTGGCAAGGATATGACATAAATGGATACATCTTTCACACGGTAAAGCAAGACAGCAAATGCACAGTGCAGAACAGTGGGTTACGCATCGAGGCTGCTAGTGACGGTGGTCGTCGTGATCAATACTATGGTAAAGTTGAGCAAATATTGGAGCTAGATTACTTGAAGTTCAAAGTCCCGTTGTTTCGTTGTCGATGGGTCGATCTTCGCAATGTAAAAGTTGACAATGAAGGTTTCACCACTGTCAACTTGGCTAACAACGCGTACAATGATGAACCGTTCGTTCTCGCCAAACAAGTTGTTCAAGTGTTCTACATAGTTGACCCGTGTAACAAGAAACTACATGTTGTTCGTGAAGGGAAAAGGAGAATTGTTGGATTGGACAACATTGCAGACGAGGATGATTACAACCAGCACGTCCACGGCATAGGTCAAGAAATACCTCTAGAAGAGGAGGAAGAAGAAGATGAAGTTCAATATGCACGTGTCGACCATGAGGAAGGATTATTTTTGTAATTTATGTACGTAGTTTATGTCTACATGTCTGTTATCTGTATGACTCTAATATGTTCGCAATGATCAATAGTATATTGCTTATGAAATAGTCAAATAAAATAATTAAGTGAAGCACCCACTAGAAGTGAAATAAAATAATTAAGCAAGTATAAGCATTGGAAATAAAATAATTAAAGTAGTATAATAATGAAGTGCAATTACTACTGTTAGTGAAATAAAATAATTAAGTATAAAAAAATATGTAGTGTATGTGAAAATATGTTAAGGAAAATAAAAGAACTAAGTGAAATAAAATAAAATAAAATTGCTCTAGGCAAACTCACCTGTGACGGGCTCTATCTGTAGGGCCGTCACAGGTGACCTCACCTGTGACGGCCCAGAGTGTTGGGCCCGTCACAGGTTGTCTTACCTGTGACGGCTCCACGGTTGGCGCCCGTCACAGGTGAGGCCACCTGTGACGGCCACATAGTTGGCGCCCGTCACAAGTGAGTTTGACTAGGGTTGACCTAGGGTTGGACATCTTCTAGATCGATCCAGATCCGGCACCCACTCTCACTCACTCACTCTCTCCACCGCCGCGTCGACCTCTTCACCGCCGCCCTCTCCACCATCTCCGCCGCCCTCCCCACCGCCGCCCTCTCCACCGCCGCCTCGACCTCTCCACCGCCCTCCTCGCCGCCGCCCTCTCCACCGCCGCCTCGACCTCTCCACCGCCTTCTCGCCGCCACTCTCTTGACCGCCGCCGTCCTCTCTGCCGCCATCTCCACCATCGCCGCCTCAACCTCTCCGCCACCCTCTCCTCCGCCATCTCTGCCGCCCTATCTGCCGCCATCTTCGCCCTCTTCACCGCCATCGCCGCCTCCCTCTTCACCACCGCCTCCTCACTCACTCTCTCGACCGCTGCCGTCCTCTCCACCACCATCTCCACCGTCACCGCCTCAACCTCTCCGCCGCCCTCTCCGCCGCCATCTCCACCGCCCTCTCTGCCGCCATCTCCGCCCTTTCCGTCGCCCTCTCCACCGCCGCCCTCGCCGCCGATCGTCCTCTCCGCCGTCCGTCCATCGACTTCCCCGACCTCCCCGACGCCGGGATCCCCGACCACCGTCGACCGCCTCGACCTCTTCGCCGCTGCCTCTCCGCCGCCGCCACCAGGATCCAGGACAACTACGGCCTGCGCCGCCGTCTCCAAGTACGCCGCTTCTCCAAGTACGCCGCCACCCTCCCCCATTCCTCCTTTTTTCGATGGATGAATTGCATTGTTTAGATGAATGAAATGTGATTTGTTGTTTCGATTGTTGGTGCTGCTGTATAGATGAATTAAATGTGATTTGTTGTCTGTGGATGTTTTGGATGAATGTAGAGGCTAGATTTTATATA